GCCGGCCACCACAATTGGTGTGTGTTTTTTGTTGTGTTTCCGCTCTGGGCGTTTTTTCCGAACGGGGGGCATCAGTATGGCTGGTTTTCAAGGGGGGTTTTCTCCAAACGCAACACACCGGCCCGCGCAGGCCTTGTACTTTCAGGTGCTGCTGGTTCTGGCCAGGGGCTCGATTAGCTCCCATGCAGCTCCCAGGGCGTTAACGGTTCCCACCCCAGATCCAACCTCAGATTAACATGGAAGCTGCAAGTTTAGCTTTTACCAAGCGATCAACGCGATTTGTTAGCTCACTTTGTGAGCTGGTGGAAGGCCAAGAGACCAACGCGACCCGGCAAATCGCAAGCCAGAAGCTGGTCCACATGCTTCCGCCTTCTTAAGGATGTTTGTTTCATGGGGGGTTGTCTCCAAATGCACAAGCTACTCGCTTTCATTTTGCATTCCCTCCCGAGGGTGCGGAGCCAAAAGACGAGCACCCACTGCACTGCTTGAGGCATGCCCGAGCGACGAGCAGAGCTCATTGCCCAGGCGGGGCTCGAATTGGTGGGGTGTTGGGCGGGAGCTTGGAGGTTGCGAGAAAAGGGAAACCAAGGGGAAACCAAGCATCCTGGGAGGGGGGAGGAGGGCTCCCGCATGTGGAGGGAATCCTATGTCATGGCAAAAAGACGTGGAGATGTTCATGCGAATCAAGGACTAATTATACCCGGTTGATTAATTTAGCGGGAAGGGGCAAGGCGTTGCACAACCTCCGTTGGTTGATGCGGATATTTTTTGGGGAAATGCCCTCCGAGCACTCAGCCAGGGTTAAAACTATGTGTCATAATGGGCCCTCAAAATTACCAGTTTCGCTCTGGTTTCCCTTTGAAAGCCACCTCAGAAACCAGCACATTTTCACCAGGGGCACCGGGCAACATCACATGACGTCAGCTGAGTCAGCTGGAACGCTGCTCAGCGCTGGAGCGTCCGCAGGGCTGGAAGCATTTCACACGGTCCTTTTCGGTGAGTTTTGGTGAACATAGCTGGATTCCACAGGTTTCAGCTTGGTGGTCATTTGCCCGAGCCCTTCCATTTTTCAGGGACACCTAGACACCCGTGCGGCCTTCTTTCAGAGACCGGCAGCTCAAGGCACTCGCCAGACCCCGAACTGACTCCATCCAACTGGTGGCTTCCATTCAGCAAAATCAACACCGGGGACTAAAGGTGTGCCGCGCTTGGAAGCCCAAAACGGGGGGGCTCACCGTATTGAGAACCCCTCAAAGTGTCCACACGGACCGGACAAGCGAGTGGATCCTTTCATGCAAGCATTGGGGCAGGGGCACTGCTGACAGGCGTTTTGTTGGGGGGGGGGGGGGGGCGGCGGGCGGAGCAGGGGGGTGGAAGGATTCCATGTTTTAAAGCCAGAGCTGTAAACCCAAAGAGTTCATCGACTGGGTTGGGTGACTTGCAGGCGTTTCCGGGCTGTCCTCTTCCTGGACGTCTTTGGGGATGCTAGCTACGTGGCTTGGTCAGAAAAGTGGCTTGGACGAGCCGCAGGGATCATTGCCTTCGCACCAACAAACAGTTGATCTTTTTTGCCAGGGAGTAATCGCCGCGCAGTTGTGGCAAGCGTTGCTTGCCGCTGGCATTGGTCCGCTCAGAGCTTTGTCGCCGATTCGTTTCTGGCCGACTTTGTGTGCCGCGCGCTCAAAATTGAGGACCCCACTGATGCCGAGCATGCGCTTATTCCAAAGACGGTGGAAGAAGGCGACATGTGCGGGGCTCAGCATTTTGCCGCTGGGTCGTTTGTGCTCGCCACTTTGCTGGGCCAGTGACCCATCTCCGGTTCTGGTGCGGTTGCCATTTGAGTATTTCAGGGTGCTTGGTGGTTAGTGAACTGCCCAGCTTTGTACTAGCCTGCTTCGACAACAACGTATCAAGACTTTGAGCTTCAATAGCAACACCAGTTAGCCTTTTTCCGCTTGTCATGACAATCATGTTTCCCTTGGGAAATTGAACAAGAAAACCATCAGAGCTAACAAGCTCAAAGATAAACCTCGCATTAATCGACCGGTGGATTCACAGTGAGGGATGTTCCTCTCCCCGCCCCAACAAAAGTTTTCCTCTAAATGGGACGCCCCCCCTCCCCCCCAATCAAAATCGACCAGGGACCTATTACTCGACTTCAGTCCCATTGAGTCGGCGATCTGCATCAGGTCGGGTGCCGCGGAGAGGGCGGAGAAGGCAGGAGGTCCCCTTGCGCCCACTTAAGATAGTACCTGGCAGGGGGTCACTTTACAGCAAAATCTTACAGGTGCTTTGTTTGTGGGAAGTGGAGTTGGGTGCAGGTGGTACACATGGGTCGCAGTTTTGCATCACATTGGTGGCAGTGCCATGGCGTGACCAGCCCTTTGAGTCTTCAAACCATCGCTATTTCTGTTGGACATTTTCGGTGCGGCTGGCTTCGGAAGCAGATGCGTTTGACCCCGAGCTGCGTTTGACCCCGAGCTGCGTTTGACCCCGAGCTGCGTTTACCCCGAGCAAAGGAAGCTTGCTGCTGAGCGGAACCAGCAGAAGCTGCATTTTGACCTGCGGCAGCCATGTAGTTTTCTGCACACCTGCGTTTGTAATCAGTAATTTGTGTTTGCGCTGCCTCAGTTGTAAGACTTAGCGCTGCGAAGTCAAATGCTAGGGCAGATTCCATGGGCCTGGCCAGGACCAGCAAATGGGCGTGTGCTGTTTGAGGGTGCCCCTTTCAGGTTGGTTTTGCAATCACTATTTTGGGCCAAGGGCCGAGGAGGCTCCGGTTGTTTTGAAAGGGAAGCTAGGCCAAACGACTGGTGGCTTCTGGTCGCCAGGCCACCCAACTGGCCAAGTGCTGGGACTTGGCACGGATGGCGCAGATGGCTCTACGCAGATGGGAGGCGACTTGTCGGAAAAAGTGGCTGCAATTTGAGGGGCTCTCAAAATACAGTTGGGTGAATGATGGCACGTCTTGCCCATTTATTTTTATCATTATCTCACTTGTGCCAGGCGTGCCATCTACTTTCAGCCCGGTGTGTGGAGACTAGTTTCCGGGATGGGACCCGGTGGGAAATTCCTGCCATTAAACCAGGTGATTTTGAGGATGTCTTTCTTAAAATTGAGCCAAGTAGAGGAAAACAAGGACGGAGTGGGGTCCAAAACAATTCCGAGGAAGACAAGGGTTTGGACCCTATGAACATGGAGGGTGCAACAAGCAGTGCGAGAGGGATCTTGACCAGTGTGGGTTTACTTCGCGAGCAAAAATGAGGGCGGGGCCGTGACAGTGCCAGGCTGTCCCCGATGAGCATGTGCGCGCAGAGGAGGGGGCTTGGAATTGCAGGTGTGTGCTTGGATTGCTGGGGTCGCTTGGTTTGCTGGGAGTTGTCGAAAAGAGAGCCTGTTTGTTCCCCTCGACTTACCACTTGCGGGACTGAGTGAGGGTCTTTTTGATCTGAGAGACAGATTGAGCAATTAATTTTGCAGTCCATTTGCCGCGGCAAGCTATCAAGTCTTGCCACAATGACAGCCAGCCCGAAAGTGGGCCAGTCTGTCTTGGCTGAAATTGTTAACCTTTAACTTTTTGGAGAATGTGTTTTTTCCCACTAATCTACATCTTCAACAAGTTATCTTCTTGCATGGGGCAATCGCCAGCAAGTTGCGGCATGCGTGATGCTGTATCGGCGCAGGATGCCGAGTCCCTTTGGCAGCTGAGGAAGCAGTACACGGTCTGGCGAAAGGTGCGCTACCCGAACAGGTCCCAGCTTGCAACAAGCCATGTGCCTCGCGTTCTGCCCATTAGAATTCATTTAGGCCCACCAACTACTGGGACTGGGGTCCTGAAAGCTGAGGGCCTAAAGGCACGGCAGACGGGCTGGATTGGTTTGCTACCGGCCTGCCAGCCGTTTGTACAACAAACGCCACCTGGCAAGCGCCACCTGGCTAACGTCACCTGCTGTTGTATTTTGCCCTTTTGCGCATGCCTTTCCGCTTGGATTGGCAGTTTCAACAAGTATGGGTCACAAGCGGAAGGGGGGACACCTCCGAAGGTGCCAGCTTTCGGTCCCGGGTCGCGAGGCCCTGCTGGTCAGCTGGGGTGAGATGAACGAAGCCCGGGGCATTCCCTACTCTGCAGAGGCAACATGGGGAGGGGGGGCGGCATTGGACACTTAGAGCTTTTTTGCAACTCAACCCCCAAAAAACAAACACCCTCAACAAAACAGGTTGCGACATGGACCCGTTCAGTGTCCACCATAGGGGGGAAGGGGGCAACACCGGTTTTGCACGAGAACCCGGCTTATCGCCAGCGGTCATTTGAAGGCTTCGAGCTTTGAGCCTGTGGCTCTATTACCTCAAAGGGTGGAGAAGACGTCACAGGGTCCATTTGCAATTGAAACCCAGATCCATTGAGACACTGATTTGCCAGGTTGTCCGAGCCGGTTGTTTTTGTTTGTGCCGGTCTATTGCTAATGAGGCAGGGACATTGGGGATTCGCAACAAGAACCAGCAAGTTAAGCCAAAACAACACGGCGTCGCTAAACTCATTTTCTACTATCAATGATGGATTCCAGAAGTTTTGACTGTGGCTCATATTGTAGGGCGGAACGGCGCACGGAAAAAGATGCATTCAACGCCAGTGCCGGCGTCCAGGTCAAAATGTTCTCGTCTGCTAGATTTGACAATACATACTCCGATGCGCACGTGCGCGCGGGTGTGTTTGCATGTTTCTTTGTTTGTTTGATTGTTTCTTCTTTGTTTGTTTGTTTGTTTGTTTGTTTGTTTGTTTGTTTGTTTGTTTGTTTGTTTGTTTGTTTGTTTGTTTGTTTGCTTCTTTCTTTCTTTCTTTCTTTCTTTCTTTCTTTCTTTCTTTCTTTCGTTCTTTCGTTGTTTCTTTTTTTCTTTGTTTGTGTGCGTGTTTGTGTTTTTGGGCGGTGAACCCGGATCCTGGGCGGTGCGCTGCGCCAAGGGCTGTCATGTCATGGGCTTCAAGGGCGTTCTATGTTTCAGCAGGCTCGGCCTTCAACAAGAGCGCATGATCGTGATGGACACCTGAACTTCCTTCCGGGTGGTTTAAACATCATGTTGTGTTTTTTTTTGCTTATTGCTGATTGAGGTTGCCTTGTTGATGTTCAAAGGGGCGGAACAATCCAAAGTTCGAGGCCCGGGACCGCGTGGAGCTGCGTCCGTGGAATCAGCTCAGCGCCGTGGAGAAGGCGACGCCAACCATGTTCTTGGTGTTGGTTGCCCTGAATTCAGGTCTGTCCTTCGCTCTCGAGTTGATGTGGGTCCAGGTATTTACGTGGACTCCCGAAGAAACCACCACAAACAGGGAAGCCAGAAGGAAACCCAAAGTGTCACACTGTCTCAATGGGGATTTGGACACCTTCTCTCTCCCCTAGAAAAAAACAACAGGGCGGTTTTGGCGTCCCTTCGAACCAACCCGAAAATGGTACCGCCAACAAACAAGATACCACATAGCTCCCTTGCGCAAATTCCAAGCTGAGCCGTTGGCAGGAAGATGGTGGGAAGAAAGGGGCAGTGGGTCAGGTCCTACTCCAGAACCCCTCGTGCTGCACATGTCACTGCCAGAGCGAAGACGTGTTCACCGGCACCTTGGTCGGCCCCCTGTACTCGGCGCAAGGGCGAGCCTGGCTCAAGTTGCTGCTCCGCAGATGTGGGGAACAGTCTTTCAGGCTCGTGCTTGCAATTTAGCCCCTCTTCCAAGCGACAAAAGCAGTCATAGGGATGGCTCTCTTTGGCATCACATCACAAAAAGGGTTATTTCCCAGAGCCATGTCCCAGTTTGTGCGTTGAAGAAGGGTCGCATGAGCCAGTCGAGTCATGATGACATTGTATGACGCATTGGGCGAAGCATGTCGGCCAGCGTAGGGATGGCGCTTTTTATGGCCGCGTCTTCCTTTGGACGCTGCGGTGGCTTCCTCCTTTTGTTCGCAAGCCAAGGGTGTTTTTGAGGGCAGCAACTCCCAAAACGCAGTTGCCCAGTACGGCGGTCTTTTTGCGGCCCCCAGGCTGCCCTTTTTTGGGGGTTCAGGGAGCCACAGGAGACCACCAATCGGGATTTGGAGCCCAAATATCAGGTAACCACTTGGAGTGGCTTGGATTTCGGGTTCTTGTAGGAAACCATCTTAGCTCCAAAACCACGGCTCCAAACCACCAAAATGGAGGGCTGATATGTTTCAGCCCACAAGGCTTGTGTGAAAGGGCTTTGGAGGGTCCAGTGGGACCTCCGCTGCTGCCGGGTTGAGGGATGTCAAATCTTCGGGTGTGTGACGGTTCTTGCGGCTGCCCTTTGCAGTTTGGGTTGGAGGGACAGCGAAAAGGAAGACCAGCCAGCTTTGGGCAGACCCATCTTGAATATGTGTTTTTTGGGTTTCACCCTATGGCCAGGAACCAGACGTTCCACTATGACCTCGAGAAGGGCTGGGCGGCTTAAAACTTTTGTCTCCCACGCGTCCTTTGGGGATTTCTTATGTCCGGTTTGCGAATGGTACAGCTAGAAAGATGCCTGTCACGTTTACCCAGGTTGCCATGGAGTCCAACAGGAACTCAGGTTCCATGTTGGCAAGGTACTTGAGGCTGTTAGGATGGACGGCCAGAACATTCAATGCCATGATCCAATTTATGATTGGACCCTTCCATCCACCACACATAATGCAGCTTCCTTTAAAAGGGACCCTCTGGTGGATATGGTGCCGGAAGGCATCAATGTCGAACCCGGATTCTGAACGAACCGCCGAGAAGGATTCCCTCTTACATGCTACGGCAGTCAGCCAACGGTTTATGAATCCTGGGTTCCCAATTCAATTGAATTTGCCATCTCACATCGCACGTTTTTTTTTTGAGAATCCCAACAGCGAAAATGCTTGCGTTTCCCGACGAACGTTTTCCCCGGGTCCCGTTTTGGAGCAAGGCGAGTGCATCTTCGGCCGTGGCAAGTCCCTGTCGCTGCGAGAGGTGGCCAGCCGGGCCAGAAACCCAGTAAAAACACACACACACATATATATATATAAAATCAATATATATATATATATATTTATTTATTTATGTATATATATATATATACACATACACGTAGGTATAACCATATACCTATACATACATATGTTTCTTTGATTTTTTGTTGGAGGGGGGAGGGGGAGTCGTATTTTGCAGAGCCACACCCTTGAATGAGTTACCCCAAACAAGAAGGCTGCAAAATAGACCCGTTCAAGGTCCCACCATACTGGTTCCCTTGAGCACCACGTCAAGAAGGGAACCGTAGCAGAAAGACAAACGGCACGAGCCCAGGCTCAATTAATGCGAAGGTTAGTGGTTCTCTTTTTTCGGGGGACACGCGGTTTGAGGTTGTTTTCTGGGAAACGGTCATTTGGCTGGATTGTTCAACATCAATCCCTAATACTTCTGCCAGCTGGTAGTGGCTTCCGTTGTTGCATTGAACTTTTTGCTGCAGATTACCAGGATCCCCTGTTTCGAACCCAAATGACTGTGGCAGGTCCACGTCCATCAGGGTTAAGGTTCCTTACCTCCATTTCTCGCTGGTAACATCATGGTCCTGGGTAAACACCCTGTTCCCTCGGTAGAGGAAAGCTGGGGTCTCCTCCAAAGCCATCTATTTTTGTAGGGGCGGACTAAACATGGAACAGAGTCAGCAAACAACAACCACTCTTTGTATACCCTTTCTTTCCCGGGGCATGGCCCCCTATTTGAGAGCTTCCCCGGGCCCAGCCTGAAAAAGCAGAGCGCGCGAAGACGCTCAGGTCACTGCCTTCCAGCGTGGGGTGCAGAGCATGCTCGCGCTGTGCCTCGGATCGACGGGGGGCAAAGGTGCAGCCGATTTGGAGAAACAGATGCCCAGTTGGGACAGGTACATCAAGACGTGGACCCGCAAGCATGGGACCCTGAGAAGGCCCGTGACCTGCTGGTCCAGGTTGAACTTGACCTTCCTGTTTGTATGTAAAAAGGGTAACTTCTAGTGAGTCATGTGTCGAGTTTGAATACTATCATGCTGTTAACACGGAACCCTCTGCCCAACAACACAAAAGACAACCAACCAAACGAAACGTCCAACAAAACAAAAACAAAGCAACAAGCAAAAGCAAACCAAGCAACCAAGCAACAATTCAACAGGCAAAAACAAACCAAGCAAACACCACACGCACACACACACACACCTTGGAAAAGCCTTGGGATTTCAACCAGTGGGCTATGGGACCGGAACCCAAGGAGCGAGGTTCCGGCAGAGGACGACCATGACGGCAGTGCCCTTGGAGAGCGATCGATGGTGCTTAGTCAAGACTTCTTTAAAGATCGGAATTCGTAACCCCTTTGAGGGACCGCCCCAAACATACCACCCGCACCCCCTTTGGGAAAGGCTGTAGGTGTGTTTGGTGGTTGTGTGTGTGTGCGCGCGCACGTGCGTCTAGAATTAGCGGGCCCATTCAGGGCCAGACTCATACCTTTTGAGCATGTTGCCCTTTGGGTTTTGCATCAGGTTCGCTTTCAACTGGCAAACAAGTCAATGCTTTGCAGGTCTAAGTCTGGCCCTAGATTTTTCCGGGTGTTTAAAGGGAAGCCAAGAAACAACCGACCAGTTTTTTTTAGACATCCCATACGTTGGCCATGTACAACATCACTTTCCACTAGACTGGAAGGCTACCACGTTTTTTGAGTAGTAGTTCAAGAATCCCCCAGCAGTTGCGGCCATGTGGATGCTTGTGATTGCCGACCTGGTAGTTGGAGGATGTTGCGTCCCTGGCCAGCGGGCCAAGAGTTTCAATGGGCGGAACACCCCCTGCAATCATGTCAACGATGCCTGCAGGGTCCATTTTCGAGAAACAATCATGGCAAGAGCTGGCTCAAGGTTGGCTCCTGGCTAAGACCTAGAACGAGCTTTGAGAAAGATTGTTCTCAAGCCCTGATCCAGTTGGATCATGTGCTGCGTGTGTGTTCCAATGCCCCCCCATTCGATCCTTTAAAGATGGCCATGGAGAAACAGAGAGAGAGAGAGAGAGAGAGAGAGAAAGAGATGGAGATGTAGAATGCCTCAAGTAAAAACAGCAAGTCAAGCTGAAGGGTGCTTGGACCCAGGCAGCGCCACGGGATCCCCCCGCGAGCGCGGGGGTGAGCGCGAGGCGCGACTTAGAGCCCCGGGGCCGGCAGTACGAGTCACTGAAGTGACCCACCAAGGGGCAAAAAGACAACTTCAAATTACAGGGTCCCTTGAGAGATCCATGTGGCCAGCTAGAAAACTTAAGACACACACACACACACACTTTCACCTGATTTACTGCGTTCTCCCTCGTAAAGCAGGTTGTTTTTGGATGTATCCTTTGAGGCACCCTGTTACACTGTTTGGTTAAAGCCCTTGTCACTCAAACAGGGTCAACCGGAAACCCGCGCAGGGGACCCGGAAATCCACGCGCAAGAGCTTCAGCCGATCAATGCCGGGCCCCAGGCGTTTTCGAGCGGGTCGTAGCTTATGAACTCGTACAGGCCCCCTCCCCTCATCTGGGAGGTCCATTCTGGCCTTCGCCAAGTCTCACTCCTGCGCTCAGGGATGGAAGGGGTGGTCATGGACACAATGGCCATGGTCATAGCTATTGGACAACAATTATACGGGTAGGAATGATGATTGGGTCCTTGGCTGGCTCGTTCTCAGCAGGGAATGAGGGATCGACCCGTATGACCCATCCCTTGTGGCTTCCCGCAAAGCCCCTCTTGACCCCCAGTTGAACAGCAAGTTGGGGTTGATGAGGATGGTCCCAGAGTCGTTGGCTGTTGCAATTGTGATGTGAGGTTCGGTCCAAGTTGCCAATAGTTTTTGGTTAATTTTGGGTTCGGGACTTGGTGGGCAAGGCTCGAATCAATCTCCCATACCAATGGATGGACCCATTTTTCGATGTCTCCGGCGGGAACCGTATATTTCGACACTGGCTCACATGAGCCTATCGTTTAGCAGGGCTTGTCACAACTTTCTCGAAGAGCATCCTTACTTTTTTTCTCAGCCATTTTCCTCCCAAGCGGGGAGCCCCAACCAAGGTTGTTTCCTTGCGTTTATCAAGCCGCCCCCAGAAATGGTGAGGCTACGCTGAAAAAGCCCTCCCCCCCCCCCCACGGTTTGGCACAAAAAAAAGCTCAGCTGTGAATCCGCAAGTCAGGTTCCAGCTTGGCGGCATAGTGAAGAAGGGCGGAAGACTTGCAGAGCCCTAGCCAAATGGGGGTTGTCTACCCCAACATAGGCTTTCCTTTCCCCTTCACAGCAACCCCTAAGCCGAGCCGCACGCAACCGACGTCAGACTTGCAGACTTGCCACCTCTACCTGCTTTTTAGGGTCAACCCATTTTTGCGGCCAACCGACCTGCCCCCTTCCCCCAAAAAAGCAAAGGAAAAGAGAAGAACCGCCTAAAATAGACATGAGGCTTGCAACTTACCCCTTGGACGAAGTCCAATTCGCCATTCGTGGCGTCCGCTCATGGACCCCGACGACGTCTCGGCCGAGATTTCGCGGGCGGCGGGGCCCTGGGTGCAGAGCAACGGGGGGTGCCGGGCGCAGAGAACTTCGCACGGCTGGGCGCTGGTGGCCACCCGCAAGCTGGGCCAGGGCGAGGCTGGGCGGATGAAGGGGCAGTCGCTGATGTTCAGGACCCTCAGCATGGCTGCATTTGGGGTTCCTTTACACCGCCATTTGGAGGGCAAGTCGTTGAAGTGAGTTTCTTTTTGGTGGGGTGATGGTTAATCCCCTCCCACCCAAAACAATAACCCCCTCCCCGCCCCCCCAAATAAAGCAAGTCCCCCTCAAAAAAAGATATTCATTTTCATGGTTAGGGCCCCCCCCCCCTCGTTCCTTTTGGTCCTCTTCGGTCCTCTTATGTCCCTCAGATGGGGCTGCCCCCTTTCCGGGGGCTGTAACAAGCCACTACTTAAAGTTTAGTAAAACTCAGTATCGGCGATTTGGGGATTTGAAAAACATATTTTGTTATGGGGACCTTTGTGATTCGGGGGGAGGGACCGAGGGGGGAACAGAAGAAGCAGCCTTGTATAAGGGCCTAGGGAGTTAGAAGCGGGCGGGTACTTCGACACTCAACCAATCGCAAGCCACCTAAACCTGCAAAGCCCTCCCAGGCTGTTTTCCTCAACAAGGGGTGGGGTGCCCCTTCTTGTGTTTTGACTCAAAGGCCAGACTCTCAAAATCCCTTCCCTTCGCTATTGTGTTTGTTTCATTCCGGAAAACTGCAACAACAGAAAACCTGAAGCGCTGCAGGCCTGAGTATAGCGCAGGGAGAAAGGGGTATAGTCCAGAGGTCTGGCAGCGGTGCACCCCAGGTGATCCTGGCAGAGCGCCCGGTGCTGCTGGCCCCACCGCACTTTCCAGCGGACACTTCGGAGGAGCTCAAGGCGAGGGGCTCGATGGAGAGCGCGAGAGAGCGTGATGCGAGGGGCAAAAACAACACAGGGCTCCTTAAAAGATTTTGCGACCATTTGAAACATGGCTTTTTCCACCCAAATGAAGGGAAACCACCATTTACAAGGCAATGTTCAGGTGTATAATGTAAGGATCCCTGTAACAAGAACTGGTGGACCTGGTAAACATTGTTGGAGCTGGTCGGTTAAAAAAACATGAAGAGGCGGAATTACCCCACAAAACCATTCTAGTTGTTTAGGCCCTTGCATCAGTTCGGCAAATGGCTTCGTCTCCATGGTGTGACGGAAGCGTTGTTTAGAAATGACGACCTTGTGCTCACGCGGCTTGGAGCAAGCTGGGTTCCCTTGCCCCCCCCCAAATCAGCCAGACCAAACTCAACAAGTTTGATTCATATTGACTGAACCTAAAATGAAAAAGTGGAGTGGCCTGGTTGGGGCCCAGGCTTCGCTTTTTGCAGGGGGTACAGGCCATCCGGGGCTCTGCCGTTGTCAAAGTGTCATGCAGCCATGCAGCGAGAAGTCGTCCCCAAGCGCTCCTCCCTGCAGTTGCGACTTTCGCTCGGCTTACGAATCCTGTCTGAAGCGGCAAGCTTCGAGTTCCTGCGCGCAGTTGCCACTTTCGGATTTCCGACATGCCAACTTTGGATTTGTTCTGAACGACGGTCCCTTTCGCAGGGCTTGATAGAATGTATACCAACGCGCGGTGGCCATAAGTGCCTTTCTGGCCCCAACCCAGCTTTTTGTTTGGTGTCTTGCAACCCCAGAAAGGGTCAGTTGGAGCACTTTAAACGGGGAATCCCTGAAAAAGGGGTTGGGGTTGGGTGCGCTTTGATTAGCTGGTTGCAACCCTTGCTTCTGGACAGCACTTTAGACGCTCCATCTGTGGATTCCACTAATAGCTGCGCCGTTTTAGCATTCTTTTTTCGCATTCCTAGAGGGAATCCACCGAATCTTCAGCCAGTGCGCAGTGAGCGCCCAAGATCTTTACAGAAACTGTTGCCTGCAACATGTCGTTTGGCCGTCCGCAGTGGTGGGCGCGCAATCTTCAAAGAAACTGTTGCAGCATGTCGTTTAGCACGTCCACAGTGAGTACGCAAGACCTACACAGACTGTTGCCTGCAAAATGTCATTTGTCCAGTCCGCTCTTACGCCCACTGGCCACTGCAACAACAAACCCGCCTCCATTCTACAATGGCGCTCACTACCCCAACGCAGAGCTTTTGCAAGGGCTCGATGGGACGTTGGAAGCATGAAGATCCGTGGCATTCGCAGGCCACGGTGCCGGAGCCGCTTTTGCGCCGCGGCGAGTGGCTCTTCGCGCTGCACTGCGCCTACGGCCCGCTGGAGCTCCTCACCCAGGCCTTGGGGCGGTGGGGTGGGGGAGGGTTCGGCCCAGGGATGTTTTTGTTTTTTCTCCCCCCGGAATGCCTGTGACGTGGTTGCAGGAACGAGCTTGGCCGTGCGCAGATTTTATCTGACCCGGGCATTGATGCAAATCGCGTAATGTGTGAGTCGTTGGCCCGGGGCCGCAGGAAAACGAAACGAAGGCCAGCAAGCTTCCATGGAAGCGTCAAGAAATCTCAAAAATATCTTGTTTTGATCTCCGGAACTGATTGGTCCGCCAAAATTGGTATGTGTCAAGCAAACGGCGCACAACATACTTGTGGTTTCCCTTTTGGCTTCCCTTTGAGCCAACTACCCTTAAACAAGCAACCCAAAATTGCATTTGTAGCATCCCCACGCTGGCGCTCTTGTGCTTCGCCAGGGGTTGCCCAGGTCCCGAAGTGTCCAACGTTTAGCACATCCCCGCCCTGCCGCCCGTGTTTATGTGGCTGAAGCAAGTCCAGACATGCCCCACCAAGATAGCATCACAAGGTCAGGCTTTTGGAAGCCGGAGAGAATCTCAGCGCACAGTATGACGGGCTCACCTGCGGATTTGACGATATTCTTGGGCGGGGTGTCCTTATAGCAGGTTGCTTGTCATCGTACATGTTTGGCCTCCCTCCGTCCATTCGGAGGGGAGTAGCAGAGGAAAAAAAAAGACTCACGGAGAAGCCAAATCAAGGCTGAATAGGTGATAGCCCCCTCATGAGGGTCCTCGGAGGCGAGTGAGCCCAAAGGAAACCAATTGTTGTTTGGGGGTCCATTTGAAAATTTCGAGACTCTCCCAGGTTTATGACAAATGTTGCATCCGTCCACCTGCCTCCCGGAGGACCTGGCGATCTTCGCGCCCGAGGCCTCCGAAGCCGCCGAGGGCTTCCGGGCCGCGCTGGAGGAGCTCGGGATCCATGGCCCGATGTCCGAGCGCCTGCTGCGAGGTGCGCACGAAGCGCCGGGTTCGGTGGGGGTCCAACCGACCAGCGCCAAGTTCAGTTTTTCTGTTATTTGTTTCTTCTTCTTGTTTTCTTTCTTTAGGAGGGGGTTGGGCTGATCATGCAACCCAAGTTTGTCAGAACGCCTGTGCTGAGCATGCTGCCCGGGTCGAGCGGGGTTACGGGGTCGGGGATGTGGGTTTCCACCTGAAGGGAATTTGGAGAGGGATTCGGATTGGAACACCTATACCTGCGGGAAGGTGACCTGAATTGAATGTCGCTTGGTTGGGATCCTCCACCACCTTTGGACAGGAGTTACTCAGTAGAAGTTACTTCTGGAGTTCTTGTCGCAACAGTTGGGAATTGGAATGGGGGTTCCGGGGTTCCGGATCGGGGGCATCAGTTGGGCGTATAGTCCACCGGGGCTTGGAGGTGAGGCGGCATTCAAGACTTCCAATACCAGAATCTGTCATTGACAGGTTGTTCCTCCCCGCCCGGAAAGGCTTGCTGCTCTGCAAGTTCGCCTCCTTCCCTCTGCACGGCGCCTGGGAGGGCGGGCGCTGCCTCTTCGGGCTTCTCAGCAAGCTGATCCTTGGAATGAGCAGAGGTTGGACCGGGCTCCTGGAAGCTACGGTGAATTCTTTTAAGGAGCGCCAGGGATCCATAAACACATCCTACTAGGGGGTGTCACCCACGAAAGTGAAGGATGAAAATTGGACAACCCCGTATCAATCAACCAGGGTAATAAATCTGGGGCTAACATGATTTGTCACTGCATTTTGGAGGGAGTTCACCAGCAACATTGGTCCGGAAAGGATGGGGAAGTAGAATTCTAGCAAATGACTTTTGCCATGGACACACACTGCCCTGACGGCTTTGCGAGGAACCACTCCTGCTACCCCAACTGCGCGTGCCTGTGGTCTGGGCAGGCAGGGGATGACGGTGTGGCAGTGGCGCAGCTTCGAGCAGTGACCAGGTGGGGCCGGGCCTGACAGGTTATGGCTCTTGGCTTCTCCGGGCCAGTGTGAGCAAGCAGCAGCATTCAGAATGAGCAACGCAACCAGTCCCCGAACCCTTTTGCGGCTAGCGCCAGGATCTCGGAGGGGGAGGAGCTCACCTTCTCGTACCTGGGCAACGATTTCCCTTTGCGCTTCCCCGATGCGGAGGCGCGCCGGGAGCGTCTGTGGCGGGGCTTCGCCTTCCGCTGCGGCTGCGAGCTCTGCGTTGGCGAGCCGAAGACCCGGGGCCAGCTGGCCAGGCGGGCCCTGGCCTATGGCAAGCCCCCGCCTCCCCCGCCGAAGCGTTGACTGGAGCGAGCCCTTGGTGCGCCTGGGCACGCGAGGCTGCGACGATGTCAGGCCAGCATGCCTACCTCGAGGCGCATCAGAGAGTGGTTCCCATTTTCCGTTTGCTGCTTTGGCTTTCCCATTTGCCCCCCCTGTTTCAGCTCCACATGACGTGCCCCCACATTGCACATCTACAGGGTCCCCTAAAATGAGTAGTCCCTTTTGGCTTCCGTTAAGTATCAGACAAAACCAGATCCCCCAGTTTGAGCAACTTTCAGACGAGCAGGTCCCGGAGCGCCCGTCAGCGGCAGCTGATCAGCCGATCGGGTCTCCGACAGAGACCCGCAACATCAAGGAACCTGGTCCAAAGGTCCTCATTGGACAAGGGGCACCCCTACACCCCAGGTCTCAGTACACGTCCCAGATCTGCGCGAAGCAAAAAGCTGCAGCGCTGCCTGACAGGCTTGGGAAGCAGTCCCGGGTGCACAGTCTTTTTTTTCTTTTTCTACAGCCGTTTAAAGGGCTTCTTGAGCCAGCAGACGACACACACGTTTTGTCCAAGTTCTTGGGCCGTCCAGGTGGCCTGCCGGCATTTTGAAGTTCATTTTGTGGACTTGACTTTTTTTTCTCCTGGTGAGCTCGGGGTTAGAACCAAGACATGCACTTCGTGCTTTGCACGTCCATGAGGGTCCCATGCGTGCATCCGGGCTCATGCTTGCGCTTAAGGACAGCCACCTTCATTGGCAGGACTCGCGGCTTGCTTGCACTCAATGCCAGGGGGGCGGGAATGCCTACACCTTATGGGCCTTGGCAAGTGCGTGTGGACCAGGTAAGGTGTCCGCCGGAATTGCCAATCTTGCACAGTACGCCTTGAACCACGAAAAGGGCCTTCATAGTTTTGACCGCTCTGGGTTTCCTTGCCAGCTGGGGTCGATTGGCCCAAACTCAGGAGACTTGTGGAAAGGGCTTTAAGCAAAGGGTTCCGATGGCTTGCACAAATGGACAATGTGTGGCGCGTCCGGAAGCAACCCATTGGTTCAAACAGCCATTCGACAACGTTGCAGTTGCGAAGCTGAGGCCTGCCACGGGTGGACAGCTTGCCGTGGAAGGTACTGCAGAGACTCACGCAGGCCCTGGGACGGGGGGGGGGGCGGAGCACCGGGTTCGTGGTTCTATGTTTTTTCTTTGGATGCGCACTTTGGGTGGGTTGGCGCTGGGTTCGGCTGGTAGGAACTGCCGAAGTGGAAGCTTGGATGGCAGTTGCGGTGACTCTCATCGGCCAGACGGATTCTCGAACGCCAGGTCCTGCAATGCTGCTGGGGTCTCAGAGCTTGCTGCCAGTGGAAGGGCATGGGGAATGGATCGACCATTAAGTCCCGAGTCTCCTCATATTGTACATTTTGTATGGCGCTGCTGGCAGAATCTGATTTGGGGTTGGTTTTGGGGTGGGGCCAAGATACGTCATGGCGTGTGTACGTGTGTCGCACAGTGTCATTTTGTCTCTTCTATATATATATATATATGTATATTTATGTATACACCATGTATTCATGCTCTTTGCGCATTGTGATGGTGAGGCACGTGCCTTGCGCTTTTGTTCTGATGCAGCCTGGCCAGTCCCAAATAGTAAAGAGGCGAACGGGTAGATCGTGATTAACACACGCGCGCAAACACACGCACACACACACACACACACAAACCCACAAACACACAGACACGGACACACACCAACACACGCACAGACACAGTCACACTGACACAGGCGGACACACAGAGACACAGATACACAGATACACACACCGACACACACACATACACAGACACACAGACACAGCCACACAGACACACAGACACGCAGACACACAGATACACAGAGACACAGCCACACAGCCACACAGACACAGACATGCAGAGACACACAGAAACAGAGACACTGAGACACTGAGACGCGGACACAGAGACACGGGCAGAGAGACGGGCACAGCCACAGACACAGAGACACGGACACAGACGCACCCACAGATACAGACACAGACACAGACACGGACACAGACAAAGACACAGACACAGACACAGACACAGACACAGAGACAGACGAGACACAGAGACACAGAGACACAGAGACACAGAGACACAGAGACACACAGACACACAGACACACCGACACACAGACACACAGACACACAGACAAACAGACACACAGACACACAGACACACAGACACACACACACAGACACACAGACACCCAGACACACAGATACACAGACACACAGACACACAGACACACAGACACACAGACACACAGACACACAGACACACAGACACACAGACACACAGACACACACACACAGACACACACACACACAGACACGCAGACACACACACACACAGACACACACACACAGACACACACACACACAGAGACACACACAGACACACACACACAGACACAGACACAGACACACACACACACACCCACACCCACACCCACACCCACGCTCACGCTCACACCGACACGCACACCGACACGCACACGCACACGCACACGCGCAGGCACACGCACACGCACATGCACACGCGCACGCAAACGCCACGCACACGCACCCGCACCCGCACACGCACACGCACACGCGCACGCACACGCGCACGCCCACGCGCACGGACACTCACACGCACGCGCACACGCGCACGCACATGCACACGCACCCGCACCCGCACCCGCCCGCACCCGCACCCGCACCCGCGCGCGCACACGCGCACACGCGCACAGACCGCACAGACCGCACAGACGCACGCACACATGCACACGCGCACACACGCACACACGCACACATACACATACATACACATACATGCACATGCATACACATACATACACATACATACACATACACACACACACACATACATACACATACATACACATACATACACATACATACACATACATACACATACACACACATACATACACATACATACACATACACACACACATACACACACATACATACACATACATACACATACATACACATACATACACTTACATACACATACACACACATACACACATACACACATACATACACACGTACACACATACACACATACACATACACATGCACATACACATACACATACACATGCACACACACACACACGAAACCACATGTTTTATGTATAATTACAACATGATGAAGCACATGTTATATGTATACGTACATATGTATATCACTTTTCTCTACGTATGTGTTTGTCTGCCTTTTTTGCGTGGGATGTTCCCAGGGATTGGGCACAAACTGGCTGTCCGTGGGCCAACTTGGGCTGGCCAACATCCTCACCAAAAAGGCTTTGGCCAAAACCAGCTCCAAAATTGGACGACTCAGCCCATTGTTTTAACATGCATTTTAACAGCGCAGCCCTCCTGGACGAAACATATGAGAATGGGAAATCTTTCAGTTGTAAGTTTGGGGTTGAACGTTTGACCAACACTTTGCTGATATTGGGTTGGGTCTTTAGCCCTGACTTTTTAAGGTTGGATCTTCAACCTAGGGGACCCCCACAATGTTGGCTTTCCTTTTTGGTTCCCTTGAACCCGACCCCACGAAGGGCCGACAACATCCCATGAAACCTTGGTAACCTTGGTCAGGTTGGATCTTCCTGGGCATCGTGGAGTGTCTTTGCAACTGGTTCCCGGAGACCTTCGGCGTGGACGTCTTCCGGTCCGACTGGGGCACTGAGGAGCCCAAGATCGAGGGAGGCACGGCTTCCGCGGGAGGGGGTATGTCAACATAGGCAGCCCCACGATGCGTACTTTCCTTTTCTAGGGCCTCAAATGTATTATTTGTAGGGCAGGCAAAATATGAAACAGGATCTGGACATATCATTCCCTTTCAAGAAAGCGCTCTGAGAAAGGTTAGGCTCAAAATATCCCGCACCCCAAGAACGGCGAACCGTGGGGCGCAGGATCTTGCAACTTTTGCGTCTGGGATGCATGCATGTCTGGCTTCCTAAAAGGGACAGGGGTTTGCAACCGTTATGAGGCATGCGCCACGGTTGTGAGTCCCCCAAGTGGATTTCAAGCAACACACCACATAGATTACCCTGCCCGTTCAAGTTGGGCTCCTGAGCACAGTGTGCTCCGATGGCTTCGCGTGATCATGCCAACAGGGGTCAGATCGCAGACGGGGGACCCTAAAATGGACCCCAAATGGACCCGAAACGGGCTCCAAATGGGATCGGATGGCTTTCACCAAAAGACAAGCATGTGCTGTTCGCATGCAAAAGGAGGCCTTTTGCTGGAACCCATTCAAAAGGGACACCCAACAAGTCGTGCGTCCGGGCTGTGTGATTGGAGTGCCGCGGCCAGATACGTTTAGCCACCCAGGCCTGGTGGGTGGGCTGGGCCACTGGGGTGCGGCTTGCCATGGCCAGCAACACCGGGGAGCATTTGACGCGCCGAGAAATCCTTTCAGAGGATCCTTCAAACTCCGGGGAGTTCATGGACTTTTACCGGGGTCTCCGCCAAAACGATTTCAACATTTGGGGTAGTGGACCAGGGTCGGAAAGCATTCACGCTGCCCGCCTTGGCCTGCCTATTTGGTTTAGAGGTTTCCTTTGATCTTTGTTCTTATTCCAGGGCCAGGTGTGCGTGCGGAAGCTGGGAAGCTGCCAAGAAACGCGCTGAAGGAGAGGTCAAGGGCAAGCAACTAGGGCTGAGGCTGGGGCTGGACAGATGAATGCGTGGCCACAGCCATGTCTGGCCTACGGGTAGGTGGAGGCAGCTGGAGCATGGGCTCGTCGAGCTTTGTGGGAACACAGTTCTGGCTCTCTTCTTGCAAGCCCTTATGGGAAGAGAGCTATTCATCCAGCTTGACATTGTGAAGGGCGGGTGCTCCTGGTACACACTGCCAGCTCTGGAGAAACGCCGACTGTCACGACCCGGCTTTGTGTGCAGGAATTGCAGTTGTGAAGGGATGTCACTCTAAAATCTACTATTACTAGCCTCCCACCAGCAAAGAAATATCCAACCCCTTTCTCCAAGAGGAAAACTGCTTTCCAAGCTGGAAGCCGTGCACTTCCACGCTTGGGAGAGAGTGCCAACAAGCAAGGATGCCCTTGTCTTTGGCCACTGGCGGTCCGGACGGGACCTTGCAGCCTGCATTGTCCCCTTGGCTTGCATTTTAGGTATCATCATTTGAGCCAATTCGGAGTCAGGTTCCCAACCAGTCGTGGTAGTCCCATTCAGCCTGGTAATGAGACGCCATTGGCAAATTTCAATCAAGCCTGCGGCCCACTTGCCAGACGAGACAACCCAACACGAAGGCGGGTGAGGGAAAGGTCGTGCTGGGTTGGGGTGTTCGTGCTGAAGTAGTCCCTTCACAGGAGCAACGTGCTTATTTCCCAAAAATGGGAGTGGGAAGTGGCATGCACCGCATGTACGGAGCAGAGGCTCTCTTTTCAGCTTTTCAAGCGAACAGATGCCCTGTTGTTTGGCGGACCCATGTCGGAACGGCTTGTTTGACTTGTTTGCCCTCCCACCAACTCATGGTGGACATTTGGGTTTTGTCGCTCTGCAATACCAAGGGGGCAATCAATCGCTTTGGTTTGGAAGAATCATGGAAGGGCACACACCCCTTTTGGAAGACGAGCCCTTCGCCTTGGAAAGTGGAAGTGCCTGTGCGCAGGGTGCACCCTGGGATTACAGTTGCTCGGAAGTATCACCGCCCTGGACCGCTTCCATAAAACACTCTGTGTTATGTTTGACCGTTTTGGGTCATCGTTTCATGACGCATCCCAAGGTGCAGCAGGAATTTCCATTTCCGCGTTTCAGATGATGTTTCTTTATTGTTTGTTTTAGAGGGGATCTATCACCGTTGTCGTTTTTTCACTCTTTTCCAGGTATTAGACTCAGACTTAGACCGCCGCCGCTGCGGCAGGTGTGGGAGGTGAATCTGAAGAAGCTGCGACAGGTGGGCGGCCCTTAGCAGAGCGACGCATGTCTCGAACTGAGGCTTGTGCCAAGAGAGGCTTTGCCCCCAAACAAGTAGCACTAGTGGAACATTGCGTATGTACCCTTGATGTCAATTTGTTGTGCAAAGTGGTGATATCCTGATTGCCATCGGGGTGTGACATGTGGGCAGTGAACACCCTGAGATTGTGCTCTTGAGGTGTCAGGTGTCAGCGGGGAGATGGGAAACGTCATGTGTTTCTGCATGGCAGGTGAATTTACGCACGAAGGATCGCATGAGGAAGGCTCGCCTGGAATGTGCTCGAATTTCAGACGGCCGCACATTCACAAAGATACCACTTGCTTTTCACAGGGATCCTCTACATCAGCTGGTACCGTATTTTTTTTTCCATGGCTCCAGCTGGTATCCTTCAAGGGCCTGTTTTTAAATGCATGATTTGCGAGTGGTCAAAAAGGTTGCCGACCGAAGCTGTCTCAACTTGTTTGTTTTGAGGTGAGGGTGCTTGCTCAGATCTGTATGGCGAGCTTACCGTTGGGGGGGGGGATCGGGGGGTCCAAGTCTTTGGAAGGCTGCCCTGAAAGTTGGCACCGAATGAACAACCAGACCCGATTCTGGCCCTGTACAAGGAAACCACAGAAGGTTGTAAACACGCGTGGATGGTTTACTCCCATGCCAGGCCAACAGAACCCCACGCCCCTTTTTGATGGAGAAACCTTTTTTTTTGGACCCTTTTGTAGGTCGATTTGTAGGGGAGTAAGCATGTCTAAAGGTCTGCATCGCCCGCTTCCTTCGCCAGGGGTTCATGAAGCGCATGAGGCTGCGGTCAACCCGGAAGGCAGGCTTCAGGGGAACACCTGGACCGTGGGCAGAGTGGGTTTGAACACTTCGTTGCACTTTGCTTGGATGTTAGGACTTTAACTTTTTGCCAACCAATGGGTTTTTTTTATTAAACCACTAAAAGTTAAGCTTTTAGCAGGGGAGCAGAAAGCGACCGAGTAAACACTTGGACCGTTGCATCCTTTGAAGGGACACCGCATTCCCGGAAAGGCGGCGAACATGCTGTAACACCTGGACCAGAGGTCCCTTTGAGGGAAGCCAAAAGGAGGCATTTTAAACAAGGGGGCTGGTCCCACCCTGGTGCCCAATGTCGGCTGGACATGAGAAATCAGTTGGGAATGAAATCCTAGGAATACCAGGGGCCTTCAGTCAGTAGGGGGGGATGGTGATGCAGGGCAGCGCGGCCCTTACAAACCTGCTTCAATGGCCAGGGCACTCAAGTAACTGGCCCGCAATGGCCTGGAAACTGAATTGGACACCCAGAAGCAACTGGGTTTTTGAGGAATCTTTATCTGGGGGACACCCTTTTTGGGTTCTATGTATATTTCTGGGGTCTCCAACGTCCGAATGCAAACATAGTTTCCCTATGCCGGGCCAAGATCTGCAGGCTATCCACTGACTGCCTCGCTCGAACCAGGCGGCCGTCGCCTGCGCAACTCCGATTTCACTCCCTGGTGGCAGCGGCCCCAGCAGGCGCGCGGCTCACGCCTGGGAGTGGGAAGGGTCAGATCTTTTGCGGCTATTTGGTAGCGGATCTTTGTACTGTAACTTTCTGTGAAAATAATGGAATTTCCATGGGACCCACAACAAGTTGAAGTTTGTTAACGGATCTTTGCACTGTAGCTTTCAGGGAAGAACCAGCGGATTTTCCGAAATTGGACCCGCAAAAAGTTGAACGTTGTGCAGAGGGATGTCACAAGGGAAGCCTAAAGGAAGTGAACCCTTTGAGGGCCATATTGTGTGTGTGTGTGTGTGTTTTTTGAACTGGCAAATCCGCTTTGAAGCTTGCTGCACAGGACAGCCAAAAGACCACCATATGCTGTCCTTTTTCATCTTTTTTGGATGGTCCAGCAGCATGACCCTTTTTGGTGGGGGAATGTTTTAAGGGGACGTAGGAACCCAGAGTGAGGCAGCTCGGAACTGCAACGTCCTCAAAGGCCTTGATTGCAGCAGGGCCGGGCTGGTTCGAAGATCAAAACTTGAAAACCTTGCGTCCTTCAAAAAGTGGCAGTTGAGTTGGAGCCCCCCAGTAAACCTTGCAACTATTCAGCCACCAGGCACGGAGACAGGCAGATCACATGCAAGCGGCGAGGTATAGTTCCATTTTCATTTTTGTTTCAGTGTCTGACCAAGGGGCCTTTTTTCACGAGCAGGGGCAGGGGCCTTCAACCTGCAGAGTCGCGCCTATGCTATGGGCTCCCCGGGACCGGGTAGTCATCACGGGGCCCACTCAGATTTCGGGGTAAGAAAAACCCCGCTTAGCGTGCAGGTGGCTGCAAGCTGGCCGCATGGCAGCCTGGCCAGCAACTGGCTCGACCCGATCGATCGGTTGCAAGTCCTCGATCATAGTCTGGACGTTTACTCGGTCGTTCCAAGATGGTTTCCGCTACCCCCAAACCACTTCCTGTCAAGGGGAAAACCCCGTATACAACCTTTATATAGTGGGTGTATAGTGTTTGTATATCCCATGCAAAATCTGTGGGTGGTGATTTGGGGGGTAGTGTCACCATCTTTGAAACTTTCAGGAAATAGGTGTGGCTTGATTATCCCATTTTGACACATGCCCAGACGGCCAATCAAGTTAATTTCCTTTTTCGCACCCGCCAAAGTGGCATTTTCCACATTCGACACCACAAGCACATTGCAACATTTAAGTGGGAATCCATTGACCCATCAAGTTTCAACTCGATGTGAGCAGGTGCCATCTCCCAACCTAAGTGATAAGGATGCCATGCTTGGATGTCACTGAAAGGGTGGCATCCTCTCCTCTTGCCTCCAATTGTTTAAGGAGGTGCCCGTTTGTATTGTTTTGAGACCCGGAAGTGCGTTACATCCAGCGTGTTGCAGCCTGCTTGCTACGGATTGTCTTGATCGCCACCTGCAGTGGTGGCTCATCCTTTGGTTCTTGCGGTGTTCCCTCTGCTCTCCGTTTAAACCAGCCAGTAACAGCGTGCCATCAAAAGCAAGCGGGTGCCCAAATATAAAGTTAAAAGGTCCAACTGATGGCTGTCTTTTTTACGGGGTGCCCAAGAAAGGTTCCGGGGTGGCCTAAAGGTGTGCCAGCCGACCAAAACCGAGGCAACTTCTTCCGGCCGGAACTGCTCGCCTGCGGCGGCGCGAAACTTTTCGCGGCCACGGCCTTCGCACTGCACCTCGCCTCGCTGAGGACCCGTCGAGCATCCGCAAGGGGTCAGCGAACTACATCATTTAGGGGATTTTGCCCACCATTTTGAGGAGTCCCAAGCTGCCCCAGCGAAACATGGGACACACGCACACACACACACACACTTGTGTATATACATAGAAGTTCATATTCTTTATATAGTGGCTTCACAGTGGTTCCGGTTAACTTTCCCGTCAACTGCATGGGCGTAGTAGTGGTGCCCGTCTTAGATGTTGGCTTCGGAGTCTGGAGCGAATCTGAGGACTCCACCAAAAATGAATGGAGTCCCTCTCCAGTAGGGAAACCACACCTGAGTAGTATGGTTCTCTGGGTGAATCCCAAGTTTACGTTTTATTTGCCGGGGTCAACAGACAGGGCTTCCTGACAGATACAAATTGCCCAATGCGCGAAGCCTTTCCCAGACCAAAAGGGACAAACTTTGGGTTCCCATTCTGGAGACAAACGCGTCAATCTCCTGAACCTGCCTGAGAAACGGAAAGCAATCAGAGCCCCAACTCTTGGAGGGTGGGAAGCATAGATATGCATACTTGATGGCTCTTAGCCTTTTAGCTTGTAGTGTTTAGTGGTAGTTTCCATTTAACCCACTAAAAGTTAAACTTTTAACGGGGGATCTGAGGACAGCCCAGATATGCATTTGGGTACCTCTAATTCGTCAACACGTGGGCATTTTGCGTGCCCAGCCGAGGCTGCTGACAGGGACGGTGCTGCAGAGAGAGGGACAGAGAAAGAGGGAGAGAGAGAGACACACACACACACACACAAAACAAAGAAAGGAAGAAAGAAGGAAGGAGGAAGGAAGAAAGGAAGGAAGGAAGGAAGGAAGGAAGGAAAGAAAAAAGAAGAAGAAAAGAACAAGCAAAGAAAGGAAGCAAGAAATAGCTTGCACAAACAAACAAAATAAATGAACTAGTACAGAGAGTCGTAAATGAACAAGTACATAAAGACACAATGAACAAAATATATCAAAGACCAGAGAGAGGGAAACAGAGAGCGAGAGAAAGACAGAGAGAGAGATAATGTGTACATACATATCCATGTATGCAAATACGTACGCAACTGCATATATTGTTTGATAGATGGTATCATTATATATATATATGTATATGTATATGTATATGTATTCATCTGTATATGTATATATGTATATATATATATATACAATGCCTTGATATTCGAGCGCTGTTTGACTCCCGAGGTACCAGTCGGAGGGCGGGCTGCCACTGGCCTGGCAGGCCCGAGCCCGGTCCGGCGCAACGAGCCAAGAGGCTTTCCAGGTTCCCTAGGCTTCCCCCTGCTGGTTTCGAGCTCAACTGGCACTGAGCTGTGGGATCAAACGTGTGACATAGCCGTTGTAGAAAGGGTCGAAGCATGTCTTGGTTGATCACCGACTTGGTTGATCACGTCCAAAAGGGGCACAGTAGTACCTTATAACCTTTGATTTTGAAATTGTTGTAAGTATTGCAGATCAGAATGCCAAGGGTTTGGAGGGGGTGGTGGTTTGAAGGCGTGGCCAGTATGCGGGATCGCTTTTGCAAACCACTTGCGTCTTCAAATGTCAGCCGCAATCAATGGTGAGGTAGATGAGTCAGGAAGGGCGAAGGCGATCGCACGACTCAACTTCCGATTTTTTTTGTGCGAGGCCTTGCCGAGAAAAGACTTCCCGGTGGCTGTGCCAATCTGCGGTGATGCGCCGGACGGAGATGATGGCGCCTTGGTTCAAAGGAGCAATCACATGCGTGTCTTTAGCTTGGGGACCTCTTATCCCAGGTTTGGGATTACATTAGACGCTGAAGATAACGTGGTTGTGGGGAAATCGTGTTGTGTCAGGGCCACTTGCTGTAAGTGACAAAGTAGTCATGGGAATGACCCGTGGTATCAGCGGGATTCTTGGGCAATGTCCACTGAGCCTAGTTTCAGGATCCAGGGCATAGGTTTAATTGTCGTAGCTTTTTCTCTGTTTTGCCGTTTTTGCTTTCCATCGCTGCCCCTTCAACCACCAAGTTAACTTTTGGCAGGGGTCTAGTCCAGCCTTCATCCGCCGAGGGTAACCGAATGGAAAGCAAAAAGGGAACCACTTATTTTGAAGGTCCCCTATTTTGACACATAGCCAAGTGTGGGGATTGCCCTTTGTACGTTAGATAACCGGAGGGGTGCACGAGTGAAGTGGCGATGTAGCTTGCTGACGTTGCCAAAAAGAGAGTGGCTGAGTTTCCCAAAGAAGGGCGGACCAGTGTCAGTTTCCTACGGTTGCGCCAGGGTTCCAACTTGAGCCAAGCACCAAACAAGCCATTGCTGAACTTTCACCCTTCTGGGCAGAGCCTTGCAAGTTTTTGACTTGGACGCCATCTTATGAGCAGAAGGTCCGTCGGCCCCTGAAACTAAGCTCCAAGCAATTGGGTATGGGTCAAAATGAAGCCACCAGGAATCGGACCGCAGGTTTTGGTCCATGTTTCCACTTAGGGTTCCACTGGGGGCACCTATTTGCGACCCACAGCCAATTGGTTCCCCCAACATTGGGGTTTCTTTTGGTTGCCCCAGGGTTCCCTTGAGCCAACCCCCAAGCAGACCATGGCTTTCCCCTGAAACTAAGCTCCAAGCAATCGGTTCCCCCAGATCCTTTGGCCCCAGGCTGCCTCTTCGCGGCCGCGCGGGGAGGAGGCGTCGCCCTGTGGCCCTGGAGGTCTTTGGTGGCCCGGCATTTTTTGGGTTGCGGGCGGGGGGGGATGAGTGGGAGGACTTAGGGCCGCTTTTGTTTCCCGAATGCGTAGCGAAGGGTTCCCGTTTATAAGTGGGGGTCTGGGGGTGGAGGCCGTGTTCGCGAGGAGTTGCTCCAGAGTTCGCAACCGTCCGCAACCGTTCGCAACCGTCCGCGGTGAAGCGATAAGCGTGTGCCATTGGGATTCGTCGTGGAAGCGTGTTTTTGATGGATCGGCAAGTGCTGTTTTCATTGGCCCTGTGCGCGAATCGTAGCTTCTCAAGCTCGACGTGTCGTTTCGCTGTGCAGGCGCCGAGTTTTGGAAGGCTGCGCGTTCTCGTTGCCGTGCCAGTAGGATTTGCGATCCAGGGGTGGTCGCTTTGAGGTGTCCTGCTTGGCAGGCGCGCGATAGTGTTTGCGCCGGCGCCGTTTTCGTTGGCCCTGTCGTACAATCGGCTCGTTTTGGCAAGCCTGAAACGCGTCAAAATTGGTCAAAATCATTCTGGCGCCACAGTCCCGTGCTAGTTTTGGATGCGTGTCGTAAACGTGTCAAAGTTGGATTTCGTGGCAGGTCCAGCACTTTGGATGATTTTGAAGTGTCATTCAGAAGTGTCGATGAGCAGTGTGGCTCAGAAGTGTCAGAAGTGTTGCTCAGAACTGTCGATGAGAAATTTGGATGCTCATCAGTGTCAATCAGAAGTGTGGTTAAGCAGTGTTGCTCAAAGTGTCGATCAGAAGTGTCAATCAGAAGTGCGGATCAAAAGAGTTGCTCAGAAGTGTCGATCAGAAGTGTTGCTCAAAAAAATCGACCAGAAAAAGTGTCGCTCAGAAGTGTTGCTCAGAAGTGTCGATCAACAAAAGGTGGTTCAGAAGTGTTGATCAGGTGTCGCTCAAAATTGTCGCCCAGAAGTGTCAATCAGAAGTGTTGTTCAGTAGAAGTCGATCAGAAAAAGTGTCGCTCACAAGTGTCGATCAGAAAAAGTGTGGTTCAGACGTGTTGGTCAAGTGTCGCTCAAAAGTGTCGCTCAGAAGTGTCAATCAGAAGTTGTGCTCAGACGTGTCGCTTAGAAGTGTAGTACGCGTTGGAAAATCGCAACTTTGTAGTGCAAGTCTCAGCTTGAAAATCGCAACTTTGTAGTATTGTAGTACCAGTCCAACGTGCGAAGTACAGGCTTCCAGCTCCAGCTGGAAAATCGCGACTTTGTAGTACAAGTCTGGTACGCGAAGCACAGGTACGCGAAGTCCAGCTCCAACTCGCAAATCGCAACTTTGTAGCACCAGTCTAACGTGCGAAGTACAGGCTTCCAGCTCCAGCTGGAAAATCGCGACTTTGTAGTACAAGTCTAGTACGCAAAGCACAGGTACGCGAAGTCCAGCTCTAGCTGGAAAATCGTAACTTTGACAAGTCTAGTGCGCGAAGTACCAGCTCCAGCTGGAAAATCGCGACTTTGTTGTACAAGTCAAGGTTTCTAGCTCTAGCTGGAAAGTCGCGACTTTGTAGTACAAGTCTAGCACGCGAAGTGCAGGGTTCTAGCTCCAGCTGGAAAATCGCGACTTTGTAGTACAAGTCTAGTACGCGAAGCACAGGTACGCGAAGTCCAGCTCTAGCTGGAAAATCGTAACTCTGACAAGTCTAGTGCGCGAAGTACCAGCTCCAGCTGGAAAATCGCGACTGTGTTGTACAAGTCTAGTACGCGAAGTAAAGGTTTCTAGCTCTAGCTGGAAAGTCGCGACTTTGTAGTACAAGTCTAGTACGCGAAGTACAAAGTTCTAGCTCTAGCTGGAAAATCGCGACTTTGTAGTACAAGTCTAGTACGCGAAGTACAGGTTTCCAGCTCCAGCTGTAAATTGTGTTTCCAGCTCTAGCTGGAAAATCGCAACTTTGTAGTACCAGCTCTAGCTGGAGAATCACAACTTTGAAGTACAAGCCTGGTGCGCGAAATGTGCAGGTTTCCAGCACTTCCTGGAAAGTCACAACTTTGTAGTGCAAGTATAGTACGTGAAGTACAAGTTTCCAGCTCTGGCTGGAAGATCGCAACTTTGAAGTGCAAGTACAGTACGCGAAGTACAGGTTTTGAGCTCCAGCTTGAAAATCGCAACTTTGTAGTACAAGTCTAGTACGCAAAGTACAGGTTTTCAGCTCTAGCTGGACAATCGCAGCTGTGTAGTGCAAGTCTAGTGCGCAAAGTACCAGCTCCGGCTGGAAAATCGCAACTTTGTAGTACAAGTCTAGCGCGCGAAGCGCAGGTGTCCAGCTCCAGATTGAAAATCGTAGCTTTGTAGCAACAAGTGGAGCACGCAAAGTATAGTTTTACAAGCTAAAAAACATAGTTTGCGCAGCAGGCTTGATTGCGAGCCCCATTGGCTTGTACCGAAAAATGTTCTCTCTAATTATTTTCTTGGGTTTGCGCAAAGTGATGTGCATTCGGGTTCGTGGGCTGTCTTGTTTTTATTGAGGGATGTACAGGAACCTGCAGAAGACCTGCAAGTCCATGCTTGTGAGCACAACGAAGGAGGGTTTTGGAAAGATCCCCCATCTCAACAAGGTGCGCCCCCCCATGATTGTTGGACCGAGGGTTCATCACCAAAAGAGGGAGGGAGCTGCGGAATCGGGCCCAGGGCTCCAATAGAAGGGCCTGAGAAATTTACCATAAAACGAGCTCAAGCCATGGGGAACCAATCGTAGCCTTTGTGCAGCCCTGGTTCTGTCCGTCCTGGCCCTGGCTATGTGTTTGCCAAGGATGTGACGGATGCTCCTTTGGCCAGGCAGGGCAATGCACGCTTCGACTGGGAGGCGGTGGCAAGCGCGCGCACACGATCCAGAATATGGGGTCGGCGGCGGACAGACCCAAAAAGGGGATCCCCCTTTTATGGGGATTCCTCTACTGATGGTTTGCTGGGCGCCTTTTGAACATTTGGAAGGGGTTTCTTGCTACGTTTCTTTTTTTGTCGGGGGGGGTCGGGGCGTTCCTAGGGAAAAGGAGGGCAAATGACAGAGCATGGATCTGCACATTTTACAAGAAATCCGAAACCCGAACTAAGAAATGGATCCCCAAGAAAAGATCCTACATGAACTTGAGCGCGTTCTTCCCCCATTGATGGAATCGCTGGGAGCCAATAACACATCACCCGCATTTTGCCAAGCGACCCACGCCTTCTGGCCTTGCGCTTCACGCGGGGCACGCGGGGCACGCAGGCCCTGGCACCGACTGGCCGGCGCCTCTGTGCCCTGCCGACGCCTGGCGCCGCTGGCGCCAGAGTTCTCTGAGCTCGAGGAGAGGTGCCTGCTGTGGCTTGGCCATTTTGGAGCACTGCAGGGGTAGGTTGGCAGATTGAAGTCCAAAGAACATAGTGTTCAGATTCCTTTGTGTTGGTATTTGAAGGGAAAGGGACACCAACTTTTCATTTTGGGTTCTCCTGTTTCGAGACTGCGGCACTCACATCTTGGTTTGGCAAAGGCTGTCTTTCAAGATTACCCTACAACTGTACATCCGGCACTGTCAGATGCAGGAACTCATGGTCGTGCAGACTGTTTCATTTGGAGGCCGTCGGCGCAGCACACGCGCATATATGTATACAAGCAGATTTCAGCTTCGGCTTCTGGCATTTTGCCGCAAGCCCTGTGTAACTGCAGGGGTTGGGTTCATGACGTGCTCTGTGTACTTTGATGTTCCTGCCTTTTTTCTCCAGGTATTCCGCGAGGCTTCCCAGTATCCCATGCTTGTCTCCGTCGCCAGTTTAAACCGAGTGTCATTGTTGATGGGGTGATGGGATGGTATAATACGGGTATGTGTCAAAATAGGGGGTCCGTCAAAGGATGGTTTTCCCCTTGACACCAACCGAAGCATACAAGCCGTGGAGCCCTTCCCCCTTTCCAACATGGTGGACGCAGGTAGGGTTCCCCAAAGGGAAAGAAGCCTTTTAGAAGCCTCCTCAGCTTCCATGATTGTTGGAGGGAAGAGTGCCAACGCCCAAAGCCACACCATTTTAATTCTTGGCATGAGCATCGCTCTAGAAGTGAACCGCAATCAAGAACCACACTGAAGACTGGGTTTGGGGTTTTGGGTAGGCTCCTGGTTTTGATTTGGCTCACGGCGTCCTCGCGCCGGAGGCTTGTGGGCTGGGACGGCCAGCGCCTGCCCGTGGCCACGCTGCGGCTGTCCGGCGGAGCGCCAAGCGCCGCGGAGCGGTTGGAGCTGCGCCGCTCGGAAGTCGGAGAGTTGGAAGCGGGCGCCGGGGCCACGGGTGCCATGGACAGGGGGTGCCTTCTTTAGGTAATTCCGCTGTGTTTTTTCGGGGTCTACCTTGGAATAAATAAAGGCAAGCCAAACTGAAGCCACCATTTCGGCAAGAAAGACTGGGATGCCCCGACAAGGAAGTTTGGGGTTGCTTCAAGGAAGGCTTTGTGGCCCTAAGTTCGAGTCTTAATTTGGGATTTTCAGGGGGAGGCCTATGAAAAGGGTGCCATGCGCACGAGTTGAGTTTGCTTTGCAACAACAAGACGTTGATGCCACAGACGCCTTCTCCTTTTTTTTTTTTTTGTTTTGGGGGTGAGGGGGGCAAACCCAGTTGCAAAAGAACTAGACCCCAAGTGTCGATCAACGGAAGGGAACGTGGACATTTTGCCCGGCTTGGGGTCGGGAAAGCACTTCCCACAGCGAGGTATATAGTCCCTCGCTGCCAAGCACATGTAGTTGTCCTTTTCAGTTTTACGTTCGAGAATCCCACAAAGGTACCCTCAAAAAGAAGGCATGCCCATGCCAGTTTGTTTGTTTGTTTGTTTGTTTTGTTGTTTGTGTGTTTGTTTGTTGGTGTCTGTCTCTCTGTCTGCCTGCCTGCCTGCCAGCCTGCCAGCCTGCCTGCCTGCCTGCATGCCCGCCCGCCCGCCCGCCCGTCTGTCTGTCTGTCTCCGTCTCCGTCTCCGTCTCCGTCTACGTCTACGTCTCCGTCTCCGTCTCCGTCTCCGTCTCTGTCTGTGTCTCTGTCTCTGTCTCTGTCTGTGTCTGTCTGTCTCTGTCTGTCCGTCTGTTTGTCTGTCTGTCTGTGTGTCTGTGTGTCTGTGTGTCTGTGTCTGTCTGTCTGTCTGTCTGTCTGTCTGTCTGTGTGTCTGTGTGTCTGTGTGTCTGTGTGTCTGTGTGTCTGTGTGTCTGTGTGTCTGTGTGTCTGTGTGTCTGTGTGTCTGTGTGTCTGTGTGTCTGTGTGTCTGTCTGTCTGTGTGTCTGTCTGTCTGTCTGTCTGTCTGTCTGTCTGTCTGTCTGTCCGTCCGTCCGTCCGTCCGTCCGTCCGTCTGTCTGTCTGTCTGTCTGTCTGTCTGTTGGTCTGTCTGTGTGTCTGTCTGTGTGTCTGTGTGTGTGTGTGTTTGTCTGTGTGTGTTTGTCTGTGTGTCTGTCTGTCTGTCTGTCTGTCTGCCTGGCTGCCTGGCTGGCTGGCTGGCTGGCTGGCTGGCTGCCTGGCTGGCTGGCTGGCTGGCTGGCTGCCTGCCTGCCTGCCTGCCTGCCTGTCTGTCTGTCTGTCTGTCTGTCTGTCTGTCTGTCTGTCTGTCTTTCTGTCTGCGTGTCTGTCTGTCTTTCTGTCTGCGTGTCTGTGTGTCTTTGTGTTTCTGTGTCCGTGTGGTTATGTGTCCGTGTGCCCTTGTGTCTCTGCGTCTCTGTGTTTGTTTGGGTGGCAACCGTGTTAGCTGGTAGCTCCGGCGCGCGCAAACGCCGCATCCTGCGACTTGGGTTTATTTGTTTTAAGGCCCCAGTTACACACAGTACTGGACTCAGGGCAAGGCTTCTTACTCAGGGCGGGTTCTGAGTGGCCGTTGGCCGTTGCACATGAGGCCTCTTATCCTTCTAGCACACTAGATCTGCAGTCATCATATTGGCAGTTTCTGAGATTTCTCAAAGTGAGCAACTGGAGTTGTTTCCCTTTAACCCACTCTGGGGCAACACCTTGGTAAATCACGAGGCCACCTACAGGTCCATTGGGGAGACCCACTCCCGTCATGCGCGAGCCAGCGGGCATGCGGGCCGCGCCAAGGCTTCGACGTCCCGCTCGAGCGCGGCGATGCCGATGTGCGGGCCATGCCGGGGTACTCGGGCCAAGCGAAAGAGGCACGCATCCGAGGCGTCCGGAAACGTGATTGGGGTTTCGTTTTTTGTCGGAGAAAGATGAATATCTCACAAGTCCGGATGAAGTTCTCCCTTGTTACATGGTTGGGTGATTGAAACGTCGCCTTTTGGGCATTTGGGTGGGGTGATGCACAAGTTGAACATGTACCCCCAGGCAGCTTTTTCTGGGTGGCTCACCCGCTCCTTTAAGTAAAAACCAATCCGGTCGTGCAAAACACGACACTTCCACATGGACACTGTTCAGGTGTATAATATCATACCCCTTTTAAACACTGAGTAGGCTTTGGTCTTCCCTTGCTAAGCCCAGCGCGTGTTCTTTTCAGGAAGCCAGGTTGCTCCTTTTGGGGTGGGCCAGAGAATTCTCTGGCAGGAACTCATGACTCTCAATGGAGGTATTTACCTTGGAGAACTTGGTTCTACAAAATATACCGGGTACTTGGACCACCACCCCGCAACTGCTTATTGGACAGCACTGTTTGAACATGGGGCTTTTTTGCAGTGGTTGGAGGTGCTGGGACTGGCTTGCTTGAAGCATGATAAGCCCTTGGCTGCTGGGTTGGATCTTTCACCTCAATGTGAGTTTGTGTGTTTCCCCCCGCCCACCTGCAAGTGAGCAACTTTCTGCGCCTACTGCCATCAAGAACCAGGAAGTGGGGTTGCTTGCACACGGAAACTAAAGCCAATTTTTGTGCGGGGTTCCGCGATTTTCAGGCCACCCGAACCTTTTGCACAGGTCCTGTACCCCGCACTTAGGTATGTCTTTTTCTTTGGGACCCCCGAAATGGTGTTTCCTTCTCTTTCATTCCCCTCTAAAACCAACCAACAAGTGGGGTGCCCCTCTCAAGAAAAAAAGGACGAGCCACCCAGTGTGGGGTTTTGCGGGGCTGCCGGGCCCCAAAACCCCCGGGCGCAATGTCGTTTTCCGCGAGATCGCCTGAGGCACCTGGACAGCTCCGGCCAGCTGTGGCTCTTGCTGGGCAACGAGCTGCTCTCTTGGCAGCTGCTGGCAGGCATTCAACCGTCCCCGCGGGAGGGGGGGGGGGGGGTTGGCGCTTTTGCTTTTTTTCTCTTCTTCAGAATGGAACATGTATTTTCTCCTGGGAGGGAGGGTTTTTTGTTGTATAAGTGTTGTTGTGCTATTGTTCTTAATGACCATCATTCGTAGTTGTTACTATTCTCATTTGTGGTATTCTTATGAATTTTGGGGGTGTATTCGTTTGTTTGCTTTTGGAGTCTTGTGTTTGCTTCAGACATGTTATTCTTTTGGGGATGAACCAATGGGTCTCCCTTTTGAGGCTGTTGGGAGCCAAAGCTATCGCCCCGCAATCATGAAGGTATTTTGAAGGCCAGGTGCCTTTTTGACAGTGGTGGGGCTAACTGTTTGGTGATGAATCGCTGGCCGCTGCCCCCCAATGAGAACTATGCTCCCTCAAAATGAGGAATATTCCTTTGCAATCATTTTTTTTGTTTGGGGGGGGGATGCCGTGGCTCACACTCAGTGCAAAGCCGAGCTTTGGGCAGATCCCGGAGTCTTTGAACGCCTTGAGCGTGTAGGCGAGTTTCTGGGCAGATGGCAGCCTCACTGGCGGGATTTCACGCCTGGCGCTCAGCTATCCATTTGGCTGTGCCCCCTGGCACCGCCACCCCCTTCAGCTCATAGACAAAGAAGCCGAATCAGTGGGTTGGTGCACCACCCTCGGCCCCAGTTTGTAGAAACAAATCTGCGGCCCTTGGAGCCTTGGTTTTGAACCATGCCCGTTTTTTCTTTCAAAGCGGGTCACATTGGCTGTTTGGAAGGAGAGCCTTCGCGGCAGGCTTGACTTTTGCGTATCCGAGATCTCACCCGTTCTTTCCAAAAATGAGTTGAACCTTCTTGAGAACATGGGAGCCACCAGAAAGGTTCTCCAAACCTCTCCAAACCCTCCCAAGAACCTTTCTAACAAAGTCCCTTCCGAGCCCTTGGAGTTGGCTTTGAGGGCTTTTTTTGTTTTATCCCTGTTGTAGCCACTAGCGCATTTTCAGCGACCGGGTTCCCCAGATGCGTTCCACCTGTACCCTGGCCTGGGAGGGCAGTCATGAAACCTTCACTCAGATTCTTGAGGGAGTTGGTGAGGGAACCAGGGCACATTTTGGGGTAATTTGGGAAAGAGCAACTTCCTACTTTTCAATGAACAGCTGCTTTCCCTCGCTTTTTGGGCCCGAACCTACTCCCCTTGCAAATCAAGAGTCAAGATGGATCCCTTTTGGCAGGCGTCTCCCAGACGGCACCTCAGGCCTCGGGCGCTCTGCGCGCGCCAGGGCCGCCTCCTGGTGGCCGGCTCCGCCGGGACCGGCTACGGGCGGCCCCTGCTGCTGGCGCTGCAGCCCAACGCGTCCATCGCGGCGGCGTGAGGCGTGAGGGAGGTGCCCCCGGTGCTCCCGGAGCCGGAGAGAAATCGCACACATTTTAGAACCTGTTTTAGTGGGGATTGGGATGTTCACTGGGGTACGGCATTTTGACCCATGGCCAAAAATGATGATGATCACTGCCTGGACACTTAGGCATCATTTCTTCTGCACGTTTCTTCAGCACGTTCAACTCTGGAGTCAACTTATGCACACCTTTCCACTCTGCAAACTTAGCGCTAACTCTACGAACACAACATCCAACCAAATGCACATCTTCTCCACATCGATGAATATCGGTGTTCGTAACAAAGTTCAGGCTGGGACCCATGAATCGTTCCTAGTCATTTAGCACTAGAGGACCAAATTGCGTCCCAACTTTTGCTGATCGCGGATGCAAGATCGGCATACCCCGACGTGCCAAGTGCCGATTCGGGAACTTTTCAATTGGGATTTTTTTTCAATTGGGAAGCCCGTGTGAACCTCAATCTCCTTGTAACATGTGTCCCTCACAGGGTCCCTAATGGAGACCCAAATCAGAACCCCCATAAACTTAATCAAATTCCCCACTATGCGAGCCACTTCAGACCACTGCAGTCCTTGGGGTGATCTGGCGCGTCGGCGCAGCCAGCACCGTTGCCAAACGGGCGGGAGAGGGGGGGGGGAAGAGTTGGAAGCTAGCAGACTCCTTGTATTCTCAGGCCTCTTGGGTAGGTGAGTGAGTACGGCCCAAACTTGTCAGGTTTACAGTGGGGTGGGCGGATTCCGTGGCAGTTGTGATGCGACAAGAATTCCCAGCTGGGTCCTGCCTCCCTTGTAGCCTGACACGGAAGTTGGTTCGCAGAGCCTTTTGCGACCCCGTGTCGGCACTGCGTCGTGGCCCCTGCAGGGCGATGTGGCAAGTTTTTGCAGGCGGCGTTCGATGTGTTTCTTTGGGGTGCCGTTTGGATGAAGGCACTTGCGCCGGAGATCTTTGAGTCCTTGGGCCATGTCGAGCGCCACTTGCGAGACTCTGCCTGCGCTTCCTTGCGGGGCACATCCCGGGCTGGCAAAAAGTGCTGCGATCCGGATCCGGCAGAGTCAGCCGCGTGGAAAAGTGTTCGGTGAAGGGAGTGGGCGGGAGCCTTAACAGTTCTTGGCTTCTCAGTTCTTGGTTTTCTGTTTTGGCGAGGGGCTGCATGTTTTTCTGACATAGAATTGGGCCAGAGGGTTTTTTGCGGATGGCTCAGCAGCAGGGGTTGGTCGATGGGGACCCAGGTCCTGCAAGCAAACCACCCAGCAACAGCCCACGCACCAGCAACCCAGCCCACGCAGCTACCACACACACACACACACTTTGCACAGCTCACGCCGCACGAGTCAACTAGAGCAAGTAGCAGCACATGCAAATCCAACTTGATCCAAGTGATCCAAAGCCGCTGACACTCAAGTCACATATCAGATATATCACCCCAGGCTCTCAGCGATTTTGAAGTTTTCGCACGCCTTCGGTGCACCGAAAGTTTCAGGTCGGCCCGACTCAAACCCCGAGTATCTTTCCCGCCTGTGGCCTCTGACTCCAGACCTTTCGCCCGGGCCTCAGCATTTGGTGCAAGGATGGTTCGCTGATGGCAACGAAGGGCTCTGCAAAATTGGATGAGGGAACCAGGCAAGGCTTCCTTGTAACTTGTAAAGCAAGATGTCGTGACATGGTTGAAACCATGGTGCTTTGCAGTTGGGTGAAAGTACATGGCACAATTCCACCATTTTGTTTTTGTCATCCCCTTGGCTTACCCGCAGAAACGGAATTGTGCCAACATGTTGGCTCAACTCCGTGCCTTTTAAACCTGCCGAAGCCGAGGTGAAGCTGATGACGGACCCAAATGCACCTCCGTTCATTCCAGGGGTGGTCGCCTCAAGATGTTGGATTGGCCCTTCATCGCCAGGGCTCACATAGGCAGAACAACGGCACCATGGCTGGCCCCGCCGGGTTTTTCAGATTTAAGCCACAAGAACCACTAAACCAAAAGTCCATGGCATGGCTTCAAGTCAGGAAATGCCGCCGACAAAAAAGTCGCCGTGCCAGGCTATAGGTGGTCATGCTGGCCTTGGCATGAGCCGGGCAGATCTGGGCCAGCACCTCTCGCAAGAGGCCGGTTCCCAACTCGCGATGAGACCGGGTTGGGCGCCTTTTCCGGGTGGCGTTTGGGTGCCTTGTTTCTTTTGGCGCGGCTGACCAGCCAGGCTGACCAGGGGCCCAAAAAGCCGTCTGTCATTTTCGTTTGAGCCGCACGTGGAAGCACTTTCCGCCGCGCGGGCGGCGCTCAGGAGAGGCTGGCGGCACTCGGCCGCGCACCGCCAGGCGAATGGGATGGAGTGGGGAACAGGCATGGTCCGAATCTGGGTGTGCCTGCTTCTAGGAAATTCCGGCCTGGGGGTGCTTTAAAGGGAAGCCAAAGGGACACAAAAGCATTTGGGGTGCCCCTGTTTTTTTTGGATGGGCAACCTTTGCAGGCGGGTTCTGCAGGGCAGCACAAAGGCTTAAAACCATTTTTGCTCCTGCCCCTCTGCTAACTCACGCACACACCCACACAAATTGATGAGTGCACTGAGCACATATTCGGGTTGACTTGCGAGACACCGTTTTGCCTTGTATCTCGAACTCCCGAATTGAGAGCGTTATAGAGCATTCAGGGCGCCATAGCAATGGCTTTGTTTCATCGCTTTACAACCACTGCTGCCAGGAATCCGTTGTTCTTGTGCCTTCCTTTTGCTCCTTTTGCTCAAAGGACCGGGAAAAAAGGGACAGACAGCATGTGGCAGTTGACGCAGAGAGTGAGATGCCGCTCCAAGCATAGCTGGTTATTGAGGCACATGTTTCGCCAAGCTGTCGACATAAAAGAAAGACGGTCTCCCATGCTTGGCCTCGCCCATTGACGCGCGGTGCTGCAGCTCGCCGAGGGACGGGAGCTGGGGGAGGGAAAGAGTCGATTTGGGTGTTGTCTCTTTTCCATTTGCTTGTCAGTCTGCTTGTTGGCTTGTCTGTCTGCTTTTTCTGCTTGGTTTTTTTGCCACCGTCCGTTCATCCGTCCGCTTGTGTGCTTGCTTGCTTTGCTTTGCTTTGCTTTGCTTTGCTTTGCTTTGCTTTGCTTTGCTTTGCTTTGCTTTGCTTTGCCTTGCTTGCTTTCTTTGTTTCTTTCTTGTTGTTCTTTCCGCCGCCGACGCACACCTGCTCAATTCGATAGCTACCCTTCGGGAATTCAGACAGCTGTAGTTTTAAGGATGCCCTCCGGGAACCATGGCAACGTACCCCACGTTCAGAGTTTTTTGAGCCGTCCCCCCCCCCCCCCCCAAACAGGGCTAATTCGGTCGGTGAGACTCCTCTTTGGCTGCCGAGGCATGAAGGTTTTTTTGCCTTTGCCTGGGACGGGAGGCAAAAGGACGGCCCTTGCTCCCGATCTATTTCCAACCAAACGTCGCCCCACTGAAAATCTCAGCTTTCATTTGCGTCTCAGGACGATATTCTTCTTGCCCTGTGAGAGCCTATCGCTCCCGGACATATTTCCTTATTTTCCCCGGGGGGCAGACGCAAATGGAGGCTCACCTTAAGTTGGATTCCCGCAAGGTGACGATTGAACCAACCCAAAGAGGAAATAGGGAACCCTGAGACTGGAGACATGCATTCTGTCCATTGTCCCATCTGGATGCCCTTTGGTGTTGCCTTTAAACGCAATCCAAAAGATCGGATTGGTGCTTTCGGGCGTGGTGGTGGAGACTTGGGCAATGGGTGTCTCAAATCGGAGAACCCCCCAAACCGGATTTTGTCTTTTATTTTGTGGTTTCCCGGACCTGAAAATGATACCCTCAAAAAAAAAGGAGCCATATCCATATGCTTGAACTGTGAATGATGACCCTTGCTTAAACATTAATATCCTCCACGCCTGATTTAGAAAGCCCTGTGGCGTATCTTGCTTTAGGACCCCACCCCCCTCCCCCCGTGCCAGGAATCCTAAAACGCCAAAACTCCCCCTTCCCCCCCCCCCCCCAATTTCAAAAAAAAATAGGAGGTGGCAACAAACATGACTCTTGTGAGTGTCCGGCCTACGGACCACGGATGAGCATGGGCCCTCTGAGGGAGCTATGGGCTCCGCGGAGTCCATGGCGGAGGCCATCTCCAGCTGCGCCTATTTCGACACCGCCAGTGAGGAGGCGGGTTGCCCGGGAGCCGGGAACCCGCGCAGGTGGAGAGGCGTTCCAAGGCCTTCTTTTGCTTCGGGGTGCGGTTCAGTTGGGTTTAGAGGGGGGGTCTCTTTTGAAAAATTTGTTGAGCTGTTTGCGTTTTTTTATTTTTCTTTTTTTTGCGGCTTTGGTTCGGCTTGATACGGAGGTTTTTGGGTTTTGTCAAAGTATCCCCTTCACAGTGAGAAGTAGTCGTGGGAGCAGCACGGGTATTTTTCCGCAATGATGGTTGAACTAGGTGATTTTCAGGAGTCAAATTGCAATTGGAGACGCGATTGGCAGGGGTGCCCATGAATCTGAGGGAGGGACTAAATGCAGAGCGGCCTGCCAGATTTATCACCTTGAGTTTTGGGATTTAATCCATGGGTTGGGTGTTGAGTATGTCTCAATTTCCCATTTGCCCTACAGAACCTTGTAATTCCTTCGGGGAAGCGGAACCGGGCTCCGTCGAGGAACGTCGGCGGCGTTTTCCTCTCATTTTGGAGAAAGAGAAAGAGTGCGAGAGAGAGAGAGGAGAGAAGCAAACAGGAACGAGGGTTGAAACCAATGGGGAATCACCCGCTAGATCTACGACTCGCTTCTTCGATGTTTGGCCGGGCGCTTCTGGAATCTGCACCTGGCCATGTCGTGAGAGTCGCACCCTTCTTGGTTGGTTTCAAAGGGAAAGCAAAATGAAACCGTTGCCCTTCCGAAGGCCCCTATTTTTGAGACACACCGAGACCCAACTACGGGGGTCTATCTACAGCATGACTCCCCACAAAATAAGCAAATCCCCCGAAGGGAAGGCCACCTATGGCAACACTGAGATGTTTTCGCGGCACGGCGCTTGGCGCGGGCAGGTGCGGCCTCCCTGGGCGTTGGCACAGGCTGAGCCTTGGATGGCGCATGTGATTACCGGCGCATGGCCGGCCATCGTCACCTGGGTGTTTTCGTTTTTGTTCTTTGTCAGGGGGGGGGGGGGGGGGGGAGTTGGGTGGGGGGGAGTTGGGTGGGGGGGAGGGGTGGGGGGGGGGGGGCAATAACGTAAGGGGCAGCACTTATTCACATTGGTTTTCACAAAGCATATCATTTGGTCGACTGAATTTGGTCTTCATGTCCCTACAACAGGACACACTGCAAAATGGTTTGGGAGCTTTTGGTATCAGGAGAAAACTAAACCACCTGCAAGATTTCCCCATGTTGGAGAAGCATGAACGGGGGGCTCAGTAAATGCTCTTCACTTGGGGTTGGTGCGGATGGTCATGGACTATATCGGGATTTTAGACGCCCACGAGGATCAGTGGATCAGAATTCGAATCCTTTCCAGGGAGAGGCCCAAAGAGTTTCGAGCACAAAAGGGGTTTCTGATTGGGTTCCAAAACCTTAAGTTATCTGACCGCGAAGCTTGACCCTCTACGTGTTGACCGGGAGACACCTGCGCATGGTTTTGGCAAATCTGAGCTTCAGGGCCCACTTTATGTGATATCCACTTAAAAGTGACAAAGTGGTCACGGGGATGGGACAAAGGGTGATATCCCAGAACCATGGACAACCATGGAATGGCACAAACCCATGGACAAACATGGAATGGCACAAACCCTTTCGGAAGACTCGCAAAAATGAAATTAGAACAAGGTAAAGGGGAAAACCGGAGAGACGTGCGTTTCAGGACAAGTTCGAGTACGAGGACTGCCCTTTCTGCAAGATGCGCCGGTCCCACCTCTCCTGGCTCCGCACCGAGATCAAGCGCTTGACCTCCGAGGCAGCAAGCATGAAGCCGCTGTCCAGGGAACAGTGCACAACTAGGGCTCCTTGTATGTTGTATGCGGCTTTCCCCAAATTTCGAGAGAAACCAACCTTTTGCGAGAGAAGATTCCCTACATGGCGAACCCACCCAAATTCCAGAGTTGAGAAATGCAGCTGGAACCTCCCATTCGGTTCATTATCCTTGCGGTCTCATTTCTAGCATTCTCCGGAGTGAGAAGTTAGCAAGGCGCCTTGCTGAAAGTGATTCGAGGGATGTCAGGACTCCCCTTACATCACCGCCAAAACCGACAAAAAGAGGAAGCTAGCGACCCCTGGATGTTGTGGATGCTGTTTATTATGCAGTGCGTGATGTGCGTGCCAAGAACGTTACAAACCTCAACGTCCACTAGCGATCAGCGGGACAACAAGTTTACACTCTCTGCATGAGTTGCTTGCTCACTGCAGACCTTGCAGCTTTTGGAGTAGGTGTTTGTTGGGTGTGGGACTGGAGGTCCAACTTGCGCTCTTTGGGCTCACCCCCTAAGTTGCTGGGCATCAGCTTCTGAAAAGACCACTTGGATGGCACAGGAAAAGTCGGGGGGGGGGGTCTGTTTCTGACCAATCCGCTCCATGAAAAGTGGGGCCCCTCGGCATGGATCGGGATCAGGTGGCTGCGGTGCAGACGAGCATTCCTCCGATCTTCCTTCCGGAGCTGCAGACACATCTGCAGGCTGCGCGCCAGGGTCCTTTTGAAGTTGCCCTAGGCCCGGCTGGCCCTGGAAAAAATGCATGGTTTTTTCACGCCGAACTCTGTCAGCTTCCTCTTGGCGTGTCGGCAACACCGCCCCATAAGGGACATAGCGGGGACTCACTTGCCTTCCTGCAACAAGCAGGGACTCACCAAGTTTGACACTGGCTCGCATGAGCCTAGCAAGCACAATGGTATTTTTCATATCGGAAAGTTTGGCTCATAGTTCCCCAACAGCTGAAAGCTTTGGGGTCTCACCCCAGATAGGCTCTGGGGTGGTCCGGGGCGGCCCTGAGGTAAGGTTCCACGAGGGTTCCACTAGGGTTCCACCAGGGTTCCACGAGGGTTCCACGAGGCTGCAAGGGCAGCGGGGTGCGAGCACCAAAACGAGCACCGCATGCTGTTGGGGATGTCACCTGAGCTTATTGGTTCATTTCCAGGGGTAATATCCCGGGGTAAGACGTAAACCCAGAGTTGGTTCATGTCCTCCGAACGCCGAATCCTTGGGTATTTGCGCCTGCCTTGGGGTACCCAAGAAATGGAGCTAGAATTTTTGGGGATGTTTTCCCCGTAAGTCTGCCTGCCTTATCCAGGTGGGTTTTGCCCGCCATACATTCCAAGACTCCTACCTACCACTTATACAAGAGGCACATACCGCCATACGAACATACTGCAGCGCAAATTAGCATGGAGCCACCAAAGCGGGCCCCCAGCAGAAGACACCCGAAAAACAAAAAACAGGTCCACATTCATGGCATCAGGCGGGGCTCCCGGCCTCTGGGTACACCGGGGGCGTGGACGACATCGTGGCGAGCAGTTGCCCGCGGTGCCCCGAGCTGCGCCAGCAGGCGGTTCGGGGGAGGTTTCAGGTGTTCGGGGGTGCCTGGGCTCTCAAACTTTCCTTATTTTTTTCCATTTATCTTGTTTTAGGGGTAGGTCCAAGGCCCAGAGGCAAAGCTTCCTTCTCAATTGGGAATGAGGAAATGTCCCTACGAACCATGCCTGTGGCTTCCTTAACTTTGAGGGATCTGAATTTATTCCCAAAACTTGTTGGGTTCTGCACTGCGCCAGCACGTATTCACTTCGCTCAGGCGATTTGCAAAAACACGGGTTCCATCCAACATAGACATTTCTGGAGTGTCAGTTTTTCTGCGCAACCCACCAGCGGGCCGGCCGCCAGGTGATTGAAGTCCAGGATGAGGCAAGGCAGCTAGACGCGCAGTGCAAGGCGCATCGGTGCATCTTTCTCGATCTGCCCCTCAGAAAGGTTTTCGTTTTGGTGTGCCTTTTTGTGAGGGTACTCCGTGTTTGGTAGTTTTAAATGGAAACCAAGAGAAAAGCAACCATTTTGGGGGCTTCAACCTTTTCAAAAAAAACACCCATTTTGAGGCGCCCGTTTGCCAACTTACTTCGGGACCCGCTGGTTTCTTTTGCATCTAGGAAGTGGAGCTTGCCAGGGCTGGGAGGAGGAGAATGAGGTTCCGGGTACTTTAACGCCAAACTTAGTCGTGATAGGAGTAAACGTTTAGCATCCGGCCACTTTCATTATCTATGACAGTTTTTGTTTTCCTGTTTCCAGTTTCTATGATTTACTGACACGGCTGCTAGGGAATCTCCTTTGAAGTGAACACGTCGTCATAGGGATGTCCCACGTGCGGGCGGGGATGCCGTTTTCGGGTTGCCGGGACTGGGTCGGATTCGACAAATGGTTGGCGCTGCCGCCGCCCAGTATAATGTGGTCATGTCCGAGGAGCGCTTGTTTGAACGTTGTGAATGCCCTTGTTGGCTTTGGTGGCCATGTAGCGTGATTTTTGGAAAGGCTCCGCACCAGTATCTAAATCCGCATGTCACCTTTTCTTGTGCCCAAGCGCAGGGCATGATCTCGCCACATGATAGCACGCGCGTGTTTGACAACACGCGTCGCGATTCTCTTTCTTTGCATCTCCCTACGTTTGCGCAGGCTTGCTGATGATTGCCGTGACGTGAGACGTAAGCATGGAAGTTCTGCATCTCCTATCCTTGACCTCGTGGTGCAACCAGGTATGACGGGCAGTGGGGTCATTCTCACGGCTTTCTTCCAACAGTTTGAAGGCTTCATGCAGTAGCGTGAGTATCATGGCGCGGCTGTACGCACACCATTCCACATCAGCAGGACGATGAGAGAAGCTGACCCGAAGTACAAAAAGAAGGGTCCTTAGTGACAAGCAGAGATACAGAACAGCAAACAACCCAAACAACCCAACGCAACGATTCCGGTAAGAAAAGGAGAAGGAACCTGAGTTCTGCATGGCATCGAAGTGGTATCGCTACAGGGCTTGGCTTTTCAGTGGCCCAACCAATGGTCTTGGGGTGGCGCTTCGATAATAATAATAATAATGAATATCATTAATATCATCGTGGCACATGGCATGTCCGTTGTCCGTAAAACAACAAGCACGGGTTGTTGAGCAGGTCACGATGGGTCTGTCTTTTCTTTCAGGCTATTTTTGTCGGGTTGTTTTTTCCAGGCAAACCCAACGGAATGCACATTTTTTTCAAGGTGTTAACGGGAACTCACGGGAACTCAAGGGAACCCAGCTTTCTTGAGCACGTCAAAGCACTGGGCTGGTCTTTAGACCTCGGAGCGCTCTCCAGGCTCGGATCGAGCCGCGGCCTGAGAGAGGCTAGTTGACCCGCAATGGGATGTTGGAACAATGGGAAGACCCTTTGGTACCCGAGAGGCGCTCGCTTGGGCACAGCTGGGGGGAAAGCGGGGCGGCCGGGCGGCCGGGCTTCGTCCAGTAAGCGCCCTGAGGTTCCGTCGCGAGCAGGCTCGAAAGGTGGAGGAGCTGCTGATTGAAGCTTAGCAGAACTACATTCAGCCTCACCCACCATGAGAAACTAGTGCGTTTGGGGGCACCCCCGTGCAAACAGCAGTCTCCTAGAGGTTGGCCCAAAGTGAAGTTGCCAAGCACAACTAGACGACATGCCGAGATCAAACACATGGGGGGAGTGTCCGAAAACAAGGAGGGCCAAACTGGCGGCCTCTTCTTTCCCCCAGATAGCTGAAAGCTATAGGGGTTCCAACTTCTAATAAAGAAGGGAAGCTATTTGCGAGATTGCCGGCTGGGTGTTAGGGGGCATGCAGTCTGGGGTGCTGGTGATAGTGCAGGCGCACTTTTGACAAGATTGACGGTGGGGTGCTAGGGGGCATGCAGTCTGGGGTGCTGGCGAAGGTGCTGTCTTGGGATGTTGTTTGGGGTACTGTTTGAGGTGCTGGTGATGGTGCGGGTGCATATTCGCGAAATTGACGGTCGGGTGCTCTGGGAGTGCTGTTTACAGTGATGGTGCGGATGGTATTGGGGCTGACGGGCATGGGGCTTTTGCGAGATTGACGGCTGGTGCAGGTGCTGTTTTGGGGAGCCTGGTGACGGCCAGGTAAAGTTTGCAAGATTGGCGGCAGGGAGCTAGGTGTGCAGGTGCAAAGTGCAATCGTTGGCACGTATTTCGCATCTGGTGGGGAGGGCGTTTCGTGAGTAAGTCTGTTTTGAGGGTACTCTGCTTCGCGAGCGGGTGGGTGGGTGGGGGCTCCGCACTGGCATTGAGGTAGGGAAACAGATTCAACCTCTCTTTTTGTAGGGAACACCTTGCATTGCCAGACTTAGCTAGGCTCTTTCACCGTCTTGCCCTCTGGGCTCCCTTTCAGCGAAAGGAGCAAGTTGTCACTTGCAGGGGATCGCATCCATCTGGCCCAGATTGAAGGGTTTGCGCCAAAGGGATTTGAGCTCCCCAAAACGTGTTTTTCGCCTATTCCTTGCCCCTTGAACCAAGGTCAAATGGGTACCTCCTCCAAACAAATACCGCGCTGCCGCTTTTGCTTGTGCCAAGCTGTCCATAGGGACTGCAGACCAACCAACCTCTTCCGGGCCCGGTTTTTCCGTCTCCCCAAAGCCAGCTCCAAAAAGTTTCCATCGGCGCCGCGCGGCTTCGCTTCTCCGAGGCGAAGCGCGCCATCGAGGCGAAGCTGATGAGCAGCGGCGGGCGCATGGACGACGGCCAGCTGTCGCTGATCACCCGGGCGCGGGGCATTGAAGAACCTCAAGGGGAGGGGGGGGGGGGGGCTCGCGGTTTGCGAGGGTAGGTGTCCTTTTTGCCGGTTTTGGTAAAAACAAAAGTAGATGGGATGCCCTGGTTTACTTGGCGGTTTCATCATCTAGGGCCATCTATTTCCCCTAAATGGACACCTATGTTTGCGAGTGCAAACCTTGCAAAAAGGAGGGCGAGGGCGAAATAGGCTCTGATGCTTGCCCCTGATTTGTAAAGGCCCCCCCGGCTCCCAAGCGCCCAAAACTGAGATTCGTTGGAGGGCCCCCCTGATTAATCTGGAGCCCCTGCGGTCCTCGTCCTTTTGTTTTTCGCCCCTGCCTGGAAGCGGGAACCAGGAGAAACTCGTTGGTTCTTGCCTTCTTGACCCTTTTGTTTTGAGCTTAAATGGGCGGGGGTTTTCTGAAGAAGGGGCTGGCCTCCGAGTTTTTTTTTTTTTTTTTTTTTTTTGCGAGCTTGAAACCCTGTCATTGAAAACAATCTTTAGCAAGCACATTCTTTGGGACAACTTGAGGGGTGCCAAGGACTGGTTGGCTTAAGGACAGACAAAGCAAATAGTAAGCAAAAGGGACAGTCCTTTTTCTGGCAGGTTTTTGGCTTGGAGGGGGGGGCGGGTACCTTCAATCGGGAGGGAGGATTGGGGAGGCCCAACAAATGATTGGGTAAGGAAGGGGGTGGGGGTTTCCACGTGCCTTTCCACGCCCCGATGGAATCGGCTTATGACCAGATCCCTTGGACTTGCGACTCGCGTTGTTGTTTGCTTCTGCTGTGGCTCAGCTTATTTTTTTGTTGGTTTGGATGTTAGGGGGAGTTATTCTTTCATTTGAGCACCGCTATTGGCCGTTCGTGTGGGTAGTTCTACTTGTCGTATGCCTATGCCGTGGAGCCAAACGGCGTCACAAGGTGCTTGGGCGCTCCTCATTTGGTGGTTTGGAGGTTGAGGTACCTTCCAGCTTGTGTTCCAGACGAACTGGGGATTATCCCCAAACCACCAATCTCAAACGCATGTGGGAAATTTGGTGGGGCAACTTTCTGCACCAAGAGAATTCTTCTCACAAACAAAGTCAGAAGGAAGGCCCACATTGGTGTCACAGAAAGGGCTTTTGTTCAGCTATGGGATCTCCGGGATCCACCAATTCAATTGCTGAACCCCCTGTTCCTTCCTGAATTCGAATCTGTGCGGTTCGGCAGGTGAACCTTGCCGACGAGGATGCCATGCTCACGGCAGCCAAGCAACCTCTTTGAGCCAGCGCATCCAAGCGCGGCTGTTCCCAGACCAACCCATAGCTCAGACCTCCAGCAGTAGTGGCTTCCATTTAAATCAGCCATTAAAAAAACGAGTGCCTATTTTTGGCCCACGAATGGCCCCCATCAGAAGAATACATACCAAGCACGCGATATCACTTGCACTTAGCCTGGAAGAGCTTTCTGCAATAGGCAACGCTACCTGCTGGTCATTAGGGCAGTTTGATGCCTGGACGAAGTCTGCTTCCGCAGTCTATCAGAAGAGATGCCGGGAGGTTGCTGAGTCAAATTGACAGAGCAAAGTGAAAGTCGCAACAGCCACTGCGCCTTGTTTGGATTGTTTGAGCAAGCCTCCCTTCACAGATTTGCTTCCTTCTGATTTTCAAGCCCCTGGCCGAGGCTGAGACGGCGCTAATGGGCAGATGGCACAACTCTCATGTGGCAAAGGAAAGGCCCAATGTAATTGCCCAACTAAGTAGAAAATGGGCGAAACTGCTTCAAGCCAAAACTTGTCATGTTCATAAGCCTTATACAAGAAAAGCTGGAGGAGCCGGGCGGACACTTCAAGAATGCAAGACATGTAGTTCGGAGCACTCTTCCCTTCCCCTTCTCTCTTTTTCTCTTTCCCTTTCTCTTCTTGTTTCTTTCGCTCGTTCTTTTCTCTGCCTCCTCTTTCTCGTTCTTTCTTTTTCTCGTTCTCGTTCTCTTTGTCTTTCTCTGACTCTTTTTTTCTCTTTCTCTTTCTCTATCTCCATCTCTATCTCTTCGTCTGACTCCCAGAAGGGAGTCCGGTTGGTGTGCCAGCAGGTATAGCATTGTCTCCATTAGAGTCTTGGCATCACAGGAATGAGTTGGAGTTGTGCCATCTACGTTTAGCCGTATATCCGGTTTGCGGCACGAGAGGTTTGCAGCCTGCCTTGAAGCTTCTTGTGCGCCCGTCAGGATAGGCCCGGCGCGTTGAACCAGTGCAGCGATGGCAAAGCGAAACCGCTTCAGTTTCAAATGCCTGTTCCCGGAGTTGACTGGGTTGGTCAAAATCAGTATTTAATCCGGAGTTGGATTACGGATCGGATTAGGGATCCCCCCCCACCCATTTTGATCAACCCAGATTTGATTCCCAGGCAAAGCCTTATGCGCATTGCATTGGCCCTGTATACTTAGCTTGGGGAGACTAGGTTATGGCAGTGTACATGCCGGGACAGCGCACTTTGTGACGACCCCTGCGCCTCCCGGGCAGAGGGCCGTGGAAGTTGCGCCTCGATGCTGGAACCGCCTGTCCGTGCCACATGTTTTCCAGCACTTGCATTCAAATGAAGAGCAGCGGCACACGCACGCACGCACACACACACACACACACACGTGCATAGGCACGCGCCAGACACTCACAAATGCGTTCCAGGCAGCTAACATGAGACCTGCCTGCAGCCCAGACAGAGCGCAGACACGCGTGCTGCGCGTGGGCCCAAGAGTGGCCTCATTGCAAAAGAGAAAAGGCTGCGCCAAGCGCTGCATGCGCGCAAATTACTATTGCTATAGGAGGGACCGCAGTTGGTGTTTCCACTTTGCCTTTCCTTTTAGAATGACCCAGAAAGAGTGCAATCGGCGGGATTTGAAAACAGGAGGCGCTCAAGAAGGCATGCTGCGTGGTGGAACCTAAGCGCCGCCATGTCAGCTGCCATAGCTGCCGCAATTGTGCCGGTGGTGGGGGCATTGGGCTTCTTGGCCCTCGCCAGCCGAGCGTTCGCCATCGACTCGCGCCTGCGGAAGGTCGAGGACCCGACGGCGTCTATGCACCTGCGCGCGATGTCACAGGCAGCCGCCGACCCATCCCGGGCGCCGCACTGGTACTGGCTGGCATCCTCCTGCGTGTACGCGCCTGCCATCATGGCGACAGCCATTTGGCAGAACGAGGCGGCGACGGCTATGGGGAAGGAGGACACCGTAACGATGACGATGGGCATTGTGTCGGGTGCAATGTTCTTTGTGACAGCCGTGTCCCCCAACTTTCAGACCTCGGTTGCCGGCCACGTGTGGCACGCTGTCACGGCTGGCATCTTCATTGCCACTGGGATGTCGTACGTCTTCCGGGCCAGCTTCCTGGAGGTGGTGTCTGGCGACGCCGTGAGCACTGTGCGCTTCATCATGGCCGGCATCATTGCGGCAGGCATCCTGTCCATGGTGTGCGGCCTGCTGTTCTTGTACTACGTTGCCGCCAAGAAGCTGGAGGACGCGGCCAAGCCCGGGGCAACTCCGCTGGACCCCAAGGAGGAGCGCCAGGCGCGGCTGTCCATCGCAGCGCTGGCTGTTGTGCAGATGGCCATCGGCCTGGGCTTGGCAGGTGGGCTGGCCAGCGGCGCCGCAGAGGTGGCTGAGCTGCCACCTGACCTGCTGGCCACCGGGTGCGCCGTTGGCGGCGGCGTGCTCGTGCTGTTTGCAGGGTGCGGCTGCGGGGCGTTCCAGTTGTGCGGCCGGGGCAGCGGTGAGGGCGCCACCCAGACAACTTCTGTGGAGAAGGTGGAGGCCCTGGCACCAAAGTGAATCGGTGCGCCACCTGTGAGCACGAGCAGCAGCCGAATGGTTGCATGTTGTTTTCTTCCTTGTCATTCGTCTTGAGGCGTCTGCGCCCTAGAAACGGGCTGCGTTCAGACACTCCAGCAATCTGATGAGCTCATTGAATCTCGTTGAGAAACGTGGCACCGAGTGGACGCGCGTTGCCACGGACACGCCGTGTTGCCCTCCGTATGTTTTCCGGTGCTTTTAGTAGGCGGTTCTGCTACCTGGTTTATTGGAGTGGTAAGGCCAAAGCCCAAAAATAGACAAAGCGACATCAACCGAAAATCAAAGGCCATTGGTTTATTGTAACGGCATCAAGCGAAACGGGCGGCGCGCACCAATCATCAAAACTGCCGGAGGCTTGCAGCCAGGGCTGGGCACCTACAACCGCCCGGCTCCGCCCACGGAGCCACCGCCCATGCCCCCGGGGGCAGGTGCGGCGCCGGAAAGCCAAGTTGCAAGCTGGAGAAACGAGCTCGTGGGGGATATCGTCCTTTATTTGGATGCATTTTGTGCAGGTTTTGGAATGATGGAGCACGACCTTTTTGAGTTGATAGTTCCGTTGGTATTGCTTCCAAGTCCTTCCCCTAAATCCTTTCAGCTTTTGCGCAGCTCTTGGAGGTTGCTTTTCGCACGTTGTCGGTACGGACAATACTGTTGACCCCGGATGAACAAACCTTGCGGATTAATAGGAGGTGCTACTAAAATGCTAAGGATTCCGTCTTGTTAGGGGATGCCCACTTAAAACTACACAATACTCAACCAGGGCTTTGATAATCCTGTAGGTTCCCCTTACGGCGGTGCGTCTAACCATGAACATTGTTTTGCTTAAGTCTGGTTGGCAGACGGTTGGGGTTGATAGGCGGCCCGCCATCTGCCATTTGCGATGTATTATAGTCACATTGTCGCACAAAAGCGGGTGCGAATGCCGCTATTCTTTTTTTCCAAGCTGGTGTGGTTTGGATTTGGATTTGAGCCCCTGGTTCTTGAAGAGTAAATGGGACACCACACTGGAACACCTCCAAACTACCAATCCAAACCACCGCTTCATGTTGACCTCGTATTCATAAGCCCGTTCTTTTTCTCTAAATTCGGGGTGGCCCCTCCGAAAGGGGTCTGAACCCCAGGGGACGCACCCCAATCAACATCATCTTGAAGGTGCTCGGCAGGGAATGAGGGAATGACCATACCATCCCCATGGCTTCCTTTAAGGGAACCCCCGAACAGTTCACAGTCATTTGTTCTTCCTTCCCTATCGCACCGGTCGCAAGTCATAGCAGTTGGATCCGTCAGCTTCCCTTTGGGTCGAGTCCGATGCTGAGGCCACCCATCCCTGGGGTGAGCTTTGGCCTGGGCCTGCTGGGGCCTCTCCCGAACCCCTTGCCCATGGACCCAAGGCTGCAGGGGCGCCAGCCGGCCGCGTGTCAGGCGGGGAAAAACATGGACTGAACCTGGCCGTCCCAGGGTAGACTACATCTGGGGCAGCATTTGAACATGTTTTTGTGATTCCAGCTGTAGGTATGTGTGAAAGTGGGGACTTGGACCCCCGAAATGGATTTGGACCCAGGTAAAGCAAAGTACAAAGGGTACCCTCAACAAAAACCACACCCCACTGATCAACAACGACTCGCCCCGGTTTTCGATGAGGAAGACCCTAAGAAAGGAATCCCTACTAAAATAACTGAGCGGGGTTTATGAATCAGGGATCGTTCAAACACATTTTGCAAACCCTGTAAAATGTGCATTTTGCAAACCCTGCAGGCCATCGGCTCGCAGGTGAACCCGATGGCCGTGGGCGGGGCCATCGCGCCGCTGGACTGGGGCCGCGACCCCATGCAGCAGGGCGTGCCCTGCGCCGTGCCGCCGCAGCACTTCCAGCCCAAGGCGGTGGGGCGAGCTCCGGTGGCGCCGGAGGCGCTGGAGGTGCAGCCGGTGGAGGTGAAGCCGCCAGAGCCGCCGATGCCGACGCCCAGTGAGGCGGCCCCCCGTGAGACGACCCCCCGTAAGGCGGCCCCCCGCGAGGAGCCCGTTGCGCCCGCTCCTGCGCCACGTGAGCAGCGCGAGGTCCGCGAGCCCCGCGAGCCCCGCGAGCCCCGCGAGCCCCGCGAGAGGGAGCCGGAACCGGAGGACCGGGAGGCACGCAATGGGACGGAGCGCAAGACCAGCTCTGAGAAGTACGTGCCGCCGGCAGAGCGCAAGGCGCAGAACGCGCAGAAACCGGAGAAGCGCTTCGATTCACAGGCCATTGAGCGCCGCAAGCAGAGCGGGGGTCTCAGAGACAGACAGCTTTGTGTGACTCGATGGCTGCTCTTGTGGCCTGTGTGGTGTATGGGGGCTGGCCCAGGCACGGACAGCTGGGAGGAGTCTACTCCTACCCGACCCAAGGCCCCATCAGGCCCGACAGGCGGGATGAGGGAAGTCCTAGGGCCAGTTGAGCGTGTGCACTTTTGCTATGCAGGAACCAGCCCAAAGACAGAGGACAAGGCGCGGGGCAAGTGTTGTTTTCTTTATGTGGCTCGGGGGATTGGCACGTGGCCCACCTGATGTAGAGGCCTGGACACTCAAACCGCCCCTTAAAACCGGGAAGCGCATACGTTCGGAGAATGGAGTAATATCCCAGTTTTTAAGCGCAGTTTGAGTGACCTGGGGCAGGCTTGGCATCCTTGTGCGGCGGCGGCTTTGGGTGGGTTGACACAACTACTCCCGGGTTTCCAGCAGGGGAGCCGTCGGGAGGTTCAAACACTGTGGTTTAAACATGTGGACTTGTCAGAAAATAGGGGAACACCTCAACATAGTTGGTTTCCGTTTTTTGTGTCCCGTATTGTCCCTAAACCAACCAAAACAGGGTACCTTCACCAACAAGACAAGCAAATCCCTCTGTGCAGGAGAGCCACAAGGCCCGCAGCGATTTGATGCGCATGGTGTTCCGCGCCTGCGACGCCAACGGCGACGACTGGCTCGGGGAGAGCGAGTTCCGCAACATCGCCGGGGGCCTCAACTTCCATTTGTTCGTGTTTCAGAGTGTTTTTTTACTTTCTCCTTTTGGTTGTCAAGGGAACCTATTATAATTAACAGAAATAGTTTATTTTCTCCAGAGGGCTTTATCACATGGAGGTTAACTGGTTAACCATCTGGTTTTTGGTGGGACGGATCACAAATGAGCAGGAACTGGCGATCCATGTTGACGGAAACCCAGGTGCGGGGGACCGGGCAAAAGAGAGCGGATTTTGATTTCGAAGTGGTGGACGCCTCAAGAGGGGAAAAAAGACGCCTCAAAAACAGAGCAAACACCTGGAAGCTGATGTTTAGAAGCAGGCCTAAGAAGGGCACCGCCCTGTTGAGATGTACTTGCACGCGGCTCGGAACTCGGGATTGAGACTGGGAGTTGCAGGTTCGTTCTGTTATCCAAGGGGAGCCAGCTGAGCCTCTTACTCGTAGGCGTCATTCTCAGTCCTGAGCAAGCTTGGTAGGCTGGTCCCATAGCCTTTGAAGCCCACCCGATCCTAATTCCTTTGCCATGCTCTGGTGATCCCCACAGGCAATGCACAGGGATGAATCAAGTCCACACTTCGGTATCTGCGCCCACAATCCTTTGGCTAAGCGAAGCTGTTCCGGTGGCTGGCAGGGAGTCATTCCGGAGCTTGACCTTTCGGATCTACCAGGAGCTCTGGTTAGTACCTCAACCCCCCCATTGGACGGCTGACCCCGGGCCGCGGTGAGACGCCTTTAGCTGCCGAGGCCATGTTCTACGGCTTCAAGGGCAACGACGAGCGGTGGACGGAGGAGTTCCGCGTGCTCTGCGAGGAGAAGAAAGCAAACCCTGCCAAGGGCATAGGCCGGCCATTTCGAAATCGGCAACTTCGAATGCCCAGGGTATGCGTTAAAAGAGGGGCCGTGCTCAGTGGATTCCACCTGGATCCCACCCTCTCCCAGTTCGCAGGCATTCCACCACTTTTGTCAAGTTTCCCTTCGGGCTTGGGCCCGCTCAAATGTGTTGTTCCAGGCCAAAAGCATTCAGGTATAAAAGGGCGACCAAATTGAAGAACTTTATTTTTTGGGGGGTCCCAACCCAACCGACCGACTTCAACACATACCCGTATTGGATTCACAATTCCACCAGCCCGAACCTGAGGTGTGTCCATTTGGCCCTTGTACTGTGTATATTATATTATGTCTACATATCTATATACGTATATATTGTAGAGTTATGTGTGTGTGTGTTGGTTGGTATGTGTCAAAATGGGACAAAATTAAAACTTGTGGTTTTCCTTTAAACCAACCATACAGAAGGCCTCAAACCCTTTTTTCTCTTGTTTGGGTGCCACATCTTGTCCAAAGGGGGGGCCTCCGCACCAAGCCAGCTTGCGCTTCAAAGCGCGACGCAAATAACCAAATTATAGGGGGTCCGTATCCCATCTTGAGAGACCCTATTTGAGGGAAAAGGTCTGAGAACAAGACAAAAACCAATCCCCCCTTTAGTTTCCCGAAGCAACTGGAGCACCCAGCTTACTTTCCTTGGGTTTTATGGGGACGTATCTCAATTGCTTCGTTCCCAGTTTCTCGCGGGAACAGCTGCATCTTGGCAAACGATTGGGTCCGCGTGCGGGGAGACCCCCTCTTCTTGTACCACTTCCCCCAACCCCCACCCCCCCACCGCCCCTCCCCCCCCACCGCCCCTCCCCCCCCCCCACCACCCCTCCCCCCCCAAACCTGTGGCAGGCTTCACCCTGTTCACCAGCCTCTTAAACGACGAGAAGGGAGGCTTGTTGGCCACCAACGAGGACCTCCGCAAGATGCTCCGGAAGCTCGAGGATTCCAAGCCAACGCCTCAGCTCCTTTCCCCCCAAAAGAGGAGCCAAAGGGACTGCTTGACCCTCGGATCTCCCGCTTCTTATGGGGGGGTTGGATCATTTCCCTCCTTTGTTTCGGGATTTGGATGATGAGCACCTTCTGAATTCACAAGGAACCATGGCAAAAGCTACACT